TATAGTTACTGATTGAAGATATATCTCTCACACACACACACATACTTACATAGTTTAATCACCAACGCGTTGTGGTATTACTCTAACTTCAGAACACTCGGGGGCGTAAAGTTATATAAGTTTATTTTATTTATTCTTAAAATGTCACAGACACACACACAGACATACTAAGTTTCCTTAAAGTTGACAGAGTGATAATTATATTAAGGACGAGGTGAGGTGGCTGATGTAGTGGTGTTGTAAGTTACGTATACAAATTATTTCCCGAAACAGGTTAAAATATTATACATTTTTTCTTAAAATTGTGATTTGTGTTGGACAGAACTCTATCTCTCATAGTTTATTTAATTGTTGATGGAATAGAGGAGCTACTACATTTATTATAAGATTAAAGACTTTAGGTGTTGAAGTGTAGGAATATTATAACGTCAATCTTCCCTCCATCACTTGTCACTCTCCCCCACAACTCGTCAATCTTCCCTCCATCACTCGTCACCCTCCCCCTCCATAGCTCATCACCTTCCCTCTCCATAGCTCATCACCCTCCCCCTCCATAACTCATCACCTTCCCCCTCCACACCTCTTCACCCCCCTCCCCCTCCATAACTCATCACCTTCCCCCTCCACACCTCTTCACCCCCCTCCCCCAGCCTCTCTCATGTTGAAAAATATATAAAAATATATAAAAAATTTAAATAGAAACTGCACAATTTGCAGTCGATTATTTATTTCTTTTATCTATAATTTCCCAGGAGAGAATCACAATATATTTGTATATTTGGATGTAGAGAGAAAATTAGTGTTACTGTGTGTTCCAAAGGTGACAGTGCGTATGTGTCTGTCTGTGTTTGAGTGGGTGTGTGTATGTTTGAGTGTCTATGGGGGGGTTTAGATGCATCATAATCTATATGTTAATGTGTAGTAAAATAGATTATAACATCAACAAGTCCTAAATTTTTGAAGCGTAGTAATACATTATAACATCAACAGGACTTTAGTTGTTGAAGCGTAATAATACACAAGTGATCGTGGGCCCTTCGTGCCCGGTTCGCCGTCCGGCTGACAGCGTACAGCGACACTGTTTTCCAGCGTAAATAAAATGGTTAATTAATGCCTTCCTAAAGAAACCATCAACATGGGACCAGGTTTGTTCCACTCTACGAGTTTTTTTTTTTTGCGATTTTTCCACCAAGTTTGATGAAAAACGATTGTGCCGTTTCGGCTGCCCAGAACAGACAGACAGAGCCACGGCTATTCCTATAGTATATTAGATTATAACATCAAAAAGACTTTAGTTGTTGAAGCTTAGTAATGCCATCAACAATTTAGTTGTTGAAACGTTTAGTAAAATTATCAATTCTAAAAGGCAAACCTTAGATAAGATTCACTTAGATTATATAGAAATTTCGTCATGATAAAGAGCCTCGTGCTATCTCAGCCACCACTCACCTGCCGTCGTTCACAGGGAGGCGCTTGTGGGAAACTTGTTCAATTTCATTCGATCTGTACCTCATATGACCCGGATGTAGGTAAAGAGGCACTTGGAGGTAAACGTGACGAATTGTGGTAGATCTCTCTCTCTCTCTCTCTCTCTCTCATTCTACTTACCAAGTATTACACAAGTCATTAATCAATCAATCAATCAATCTTATAAAATCTCTCTCTCTCTCGCCCACTCTATTTACCAATCATTCTGCATATCAAATATTCCACAGGACATCTCTCTGTCTCTGTCTCAGCATCATCATTCTTCCTATATTTTCAACACACGTCGCCTGGTTATTGCAGATTAAGCGAGAAAGAGGACAACCATTTTAACTCGTGGACAATACTTGAGCATCCTTCAGCCTCGACTCAGGGCAAAAATTATCATATGTCACTACAATTTTTTTCCAAGAGATTTTTATAAAAGTTTCTAGTCGTGTAGGTGTGTGTGGGGGGTGTAGGTGTGTGTGTGGGGCTACAGGTGTAGGTGTGTGTGGGGGTGTAGGTGTGTGTGGGGCTACAGGTGTAGGTGTGTGTGGGGGGTGTAGGTGTGTGTGGGGTACAGGTGTGGTGTGTGTGGGGGGGTACAGGTGTGGGTGTGTGTGTGGGGCTACAGGTGTGGGTGTGTGTGGGGGTGTGGGTGTGGGTGTGTGTGTGGGCTACAGGTGTAGTGTGTGTGTGGGTGGGGTAGGTGTGTGTGTGGGGCTACAGGTGTGGCTACAGGTGTGGGTGTGTGTGTGGGGCTACAGGTGTGGGTGTGTGTGGGGGTGTGGGGTGTGGGTGTGGTGTGGGGCTACAGGTGTGGGGTGTGTGTAGGGGTGTGGGTGTGGGGTGTGTGTGGGGCTACAGGTGTGTGTGTGTGTGTGGGGGTGTGGGTGTGGGTGTGTGTGGGGGTGTGGGTGTGGTGTGTGTGGGGGTGAGTGTGTGTGGGGGATGTGAGTGACGGTGTGAGTGTGTGACTGACGGTGTGAGTGTGTGACTGACGGTGTGAGTGATGGTGTGAGTGTGTGTGAGTGACGGTGTGGTGTGTGACTGACGGTGTGAGTGTGTGTGATGGTGTGAGTGTGTGTGATTGACGGTGTGAGTGTGTGTGATTGACGGTGTGAGTGTGTGACTGACGGTGTGAGTGTGTGTGATGGTGTGAGTGTGTGTGATTGACGGTGTGAGAGTGTGTGACTGACGGTGTGAGTGTGTGTGACTGACGGTGTGAGTGTGTGACTGACGGTGTGAGTGATGGTGTGAGTGTGTGTGAGTGACGGTGTGAGTGTGTGACTGACGGTGTGAGTGTGTGTGAGACGGTGTGGGTGTGACTGACGGTGTGAGTGATGGTGTGAGATTGAGTGACGGTGTGAGTGTGTAAGTGGTGGTGTGAGTGACGGTGTGAGTGTTTGACTGACGGTGTGAGGTGTGTGTGATGGTGTGAGTGTGTGTGACTGACGGTGTGAGTGTGTGAGTGACGGTGTGAGTGTTTGAGTGGTGGTGTGGGTGTGTGGTGACGATGTGGTGTGTGAGTGACGGTGTGAGTGTGTAACTGGCTGTGTGAGTGTTTGGTGACGGTGTGGTATGTGAGTTTGTGGTGGTGGTGTGAATGTGTGAGTGGTGGTGTGGTGTGTGGTGGTGGTGTGGTGTGTGAGAGGTGGTATGAGTGTGTGAGTGACGGTGTAAGTATGTGAGTGTGTGAGTGACGGTGTGGTATGTGAGGTGTGTGGTGACGGTGTGTATGTGAGTGTGTGAGTAATGGTGTGAGTGTGTTGGTGGTGGTGTGGTGTGTGAGTAACGTGTGTGTAACTGGCTGTGTGAGTGTGTGAGTGACGGTGTGAGTGTGTGGTGGTGGTGTGGTGTGTGAATGGTGGTATGAGTGTGTGAGTAATGGTGTGAGTGTGTTAGTGGTGGTGTGAGTGTGTGTGACGGTGTGAGTGTGTAACTGGCTGTGTGAGTGTGTGGGTGACGGTGTGGTATGTGAGTTGTGTGGTGGTGTGAATGTGTGTGTGTGTGGTGGTGGTGTGGTGTGTGGTGGTGGTGTGAGTGCATGTGGTGATGGCGTGAGTGTGTGAGTGACGGTGTGGTGTGTGGTGGTGGTGTGGTGTGTGGTGGTGGTGTGAGTGCAGTGATGGGGAGTGTGTGGTGACGGTGTGGTGTGTAGTGACAGTGTCAGTGTGTGAGTAACAGTGTGAGTGTGTTGGTGGTGGTGTGAGTGTGTGAGTAACGTGTGAGTGTGTGGTGGTGGTGTGGTGAGTGTGTGACAGTGTCAGTGTGTGAGTAATGGTGTGAGGTGTGTGAGTGACGGTGTGAGTGTGTGAGTGACAGTGTCAGTGTGTGAGTGTGCTGTGAGTGTGTTGGTGGTGGTATAAGCGTGTGAGTGACAGGTGTGTGTGAGTATGTGAGTAATGGTGTGAGTGTGTGAGTGTGTGTGTGTGTGACAGTGTGGTGTGTGAGTAATTGGTGTGAGTGTGTGAGTGACAGTGTGAGTGTGTGAGTAATGGTGTGAGTGTGTGAGTGACGGTGTGAGTGTGTGAGTGACAGTGTGAGTGTGTGAGTAATGGTGTGAGTGTGTTAGTGGTGGTGTGAGTGTGTGAGTGACAGTGTCAGTGTGTGAGTAATGGTGTGAGTGTGTTAGTGGTGGTGTAAGTGTGTGAGTGTCAGTGTGTGAGTAACACTGGAAGTTTCCATGTGAGTGCGTGATTGACGGTGTGAGTGTATGAGTGGTGGTGTGAGTGTGTGAGTGGTGGTGTGAGTGTGTGAGTGGTGGAATGAGTGTGTGTGACGGTGAGAGTGTGTGAATGGTGGTGTGAGTGTATGGTGGTGGTGTAAGTATGTGGTGGTGGTGTGAGTTTTGTGAGTGACGGTGTGAGTGTGTGAGTGGTGGTGTGAGTGCGTGAGTGTGTGGGTGACGGTGTGGGTGTGTGAATGGCGGTGTGTGTGTATGAGTAGTGGTGTGAGTGTGTGGTGACGGTGTGAGGTGTGTGAGATGGTGTGTGTGTGACAGTAGTGGTGTGAGTGTGTGAGTGACGGTGTGTGTGTGTGAGTAGCGGTGTGAGTGTGTGAGTGACGGTGTGAGTGTGTGTGAGTGACTGACCTCTACAGCACACACCATATACTGTACAGGGTGTCTCATAGGTCATACACCATACCGTACAGGGTGTCTCATAGGTCATACATCATACTGTACAGGGTGTCTCATAGGTCATACATCATACTGTACAGGGTGTCTCATAGGTCATACACCATACCGTACAGGGTGTCTCATAGGTCATACATCATACTGTACAGGGTGTCTCATAGGTCATACACCATACTGTACAGGGTGTCTCATAGGTCATACACCATTATCTCACTGAGTTCCTCTCATCTCCACGTTCAAGACTGTCCATCCAATCTTTCTTTTTTTTTTAATATCACTTTTCATTTCCCATCAGACTAACGTGAGATAATTACTAAATCATCTACAGCTCTACACCTACAGTACATCCCTTAAGACACAGTTTCTTTTCAGTGATTCTACATGATTATCTTACCATTATGCTGTAGAGAAGTGCGAAAGTCAAGTGTGAGGGCGGCAGCAAGTGATGACTACAGGAACCTTATATGAGGCAGATGACTTTGTGTTTATCCCTCACTCAGAACCAAACTTTTCCTCCAGTTGCGTCACGAAGATGCCTCGGAGTTCAGGTCCGCCTCTCAACAACCTGTTTCGTTCAATGTGATTCCTCCATCTTCGTTCTAAGGTTCTTCCTCTTATCAGATTCCCACTGGAAGTGTATAGATGCTACAAGGAAGGTGTGTAGAGGAGGTGGGTATTGTCGTAAACGCCGCAGAAGGCGAGGGCGACGAAGGAGAAAGAATGAAGGGGAACGCTTGAGAGGCCCGTCCACCAACGAAGACGAAACTTGTGTGTGCGTGTGTGCCCGTGAGTCTGGAACGCTGAGGAGTGGCGCCTGTCTCCCTCCCCTGCCTCTCTTATACCGCCGCCCTCACCACCTCCACTCTCCTGCGTCGCCTCACACCACCCCTGTAGTCCATCCCCTGCCACAACTAATACCAGTACGACCCTCTTCACCCCACAACTAATACCAGTACGACCCTCTTCACCCCACAACTAATACCAGTACGTCCTTCACCCCCACTAATACCAGTACGACCCTCTTCACCCCAACATAATACCAGTACGACCCTCTTCCACTTCTAATACCAGTACGACCCTCTTCACACAACTAATACCAGTACACCAGCTAATACCAGTGACCCTCTTCACCCCACTTAACCCCACAACTAATACCAGTACGACCCTCTTCACCCCACAACTAATACCAGTACGACCCTCTTCACCCACAACTAATACCAGTACGACCCTCTTCCCCACAACTAATACCAGTACGACCTCTTCACCCCAACTAATACCAGTACGACCCTCTTCACCCCACAACTAATACCAGTACGACTCTCTTCACCCCACAACTAATACCAGTACGACCCTCTTCACCCCACAACTAATACCAGTACGACCCTCTTCACCCCACAACTAATACCAGTACGACCCTCTTCACCCCACAACTAATACCAGTACGACCCCCCAGCCCACAACTAGTACCAATACGACCCCCTCCACCCCACATCTAATACAATACCCATCACAATAATATTCTTCCCAACCCACCAGGATATATACACTGCTCTCTGCAGAAGTATCCACCTGTCTGACGAAGATTCCCCGGAGAGGCCACGAAAGACGACCACCTGTCACCACTATCCTCCTGTAGGAACGATAAATAGGGAGGAGGGGGGAGGAGGAGGGAGTAGGAAGAAGAGGGAGGGGGGAGGAAGAAACAAATGAAGGCGGGATAATAAGTTGTGTTGGTGGTAGTGATAACTTTTATAATTATTAGTCACGTCGCGTTGCCTCTCTGGGGGTAGTGTGGAGGGGTGGGTAAGAGAGGTAAATGGGGGGTTAGGGGGTGAGAGAAAGGGTGCTTGGGTTGAAGAGGAGGATGTGTGGGTTGAAGGAGGGATGTGTGGAAGGTGAAGAAGAGGGTGTGGAGGGTGAGAGAGGGGACGTAAAGGGTGAAAAGGGGGTGTGTGGGGTGAGGGAGGGGGCGTAGAGGGTGAAGAAGAGGGTGTGGGGGGGTGAAGTAAGTGATGTAAATGGTGAGAGAGGGTGTGTGTTGAGTGAGGGAGGGGGTGTGCAGGGTGACGGAGGAGATACAGAGGGTGATGCGACGGGAAGGTAAGTTTTAGTGTGTGTGTACTGCCAGTCAGGTGATCTAGCTACTGATTGAGTCGTTGATACTGTGTTAACCCGGAAGGCTCTCCTCATGATAAAAAAGATAATATGCCAATCTTTGAAGACATATTGTACCCCCATATTGGAAGATAATCTAGATAAATATTACTCGTAAAGAACATAAGATTAAGTAGTGAAGATAAAGGTTACACAGTTCAGTTCTGGTCACCGTATTACAGAATGGATATAGAATCCTTGGAAAGAATTCAGAGGAGAATGACAAGACTAATCCCGGGCATTAGGAACCTTGAGTATAGAGGCAGGTTAAAGCATCTTAATCTACACTCCCTCGAGAGACGTAGAGTGAGTGGCGATATGATAGAGGTATAAATGGAAGGCAGGGCTAAACAAAGGGGACATTACTAAGGTACTCAAACTATCCAACCAGGAGCGAACTCGTAACAATGGTTTTAAATTAGACAAATTTAGATTTAGGCGCGAAATAGGTAAACATTGGTTTTGAAATAGAATCGTGAACGAGTGGAACAAGTTACCAAATATCATCGTGAACTCGAATAGGCTGGATAGCTTCAAACATAGGTTGGATGGATATATGAGCAATAGGGGTTGGGTGTAAATGGGACTGCCCAGTATGGGCCAATAGGCCCGCTGCAGTTTCCTCCATTCTTATGTTCTTATGATCTTATGTACTCACGACACCCGCACCACACTACACCACATCACAACACTCACACTACACAACAACTGCACCACAACACCTACACCACACAACACCCACAGCATACTACACCACACCACAACACCCACAGCAACACAATACACCACAACACCCACACTACACGACACCCACAGCACAATACACCACACCACGACACCCGCACTACACATAATGGTTGTCCCTCGTGTAACGAAGATGGCTGGCCCAAGGGCCATCTAGGCGTGAATTTGTTTAAGGTGTAGAAGCTGTCGCCAACACAATAACCACACCCTGAGTTAACGAGCTGCATGACCCAGTGTTTACGGTGCAGAAGCTGTCGCCGACACAACAACCACACCCTAAGTTAACGAGCTGCATGACCCAGTGTTTAAGGTGTAGAAGCTGTCGCTAACACAACAACCACACCCTGAGTTAACGAGCTGCATGACCCAGTGTTTAAGGTGTAGAAGCTGTCGCCAACACAACAACCACACCCTGAGTTAACGAGCTGCATGACCCAGTGTTTAAGGTGTAGAAGCTGTCGCCAACTCAACAACCACACCCTGAGTTAACGAGCTGCATGACCCAGTCGTTTAAGGCTGTAGTGAAGCTGTCGCCAACACAACAACCACACCCTGAGTTAACGAGCTGCATGACCCAGTGTTTAAGGTGTAGAAGCTGTCGCCAACACAACAACCACACCCTGAGTTAACGAGCTGCATGACCCAGTGTTTAAGGTGTAGAAGCTGTCGCCAACTCAACAACCACACGTTAAGTTAACGAGCTGCATGACCCAGTGTCAAGGAATAGCCCGAGAAGACCGGACAACTCGCCAACTGTACTGGCTAACCATTACCCCAGAGCACGATTCGCAAATCTATTAACATCCAGGTTCCCAATTACTGCTGGGTAGACAGAGGCAAATGGCGTAAAGAAACCGCACAACACCTGTATGTATATTATGTATATTGTATGTATACCATGTATGTACTCTATATATACACATTATTTCTCTAGTCAGTAGCGTGTGGCAATGCCCCTCTTTCATGTCACCACACGCTTAGATAAATGTGCCTGGCGACATCTGGAAGCTGCTAATGTACCACTTACCACATGTCGCCTGAGAGGTCAGAGAGAGGTCAGTTGACCCTATAGGAGTGTAAGGACTACCTTGTATATTTCCGTTAATAAGAACCTATAGAACTCTACAGGTGTTTATGTTCGCTCCTGTAGTTAGAACCAAGTACCCCGAACATCTCCAACACCCACAGCACAATACACCACACTACAACGCCCACACCACACAACACCCACACCACAACACCCACACCACTCAACACCCATAACACAATACACCACAACACCCACACCACTCAACACCCATAACACAATACACCACACCACAACACAATACACCACACCACAACACCCACACCACACAACACCCACAGCACAATACAACACAACACCCACACCACATAACACCCACAACACAATACACCACACCTTGAACCTTGACTTCCTGGATCACTTTTACGATAAGAAGAGTTTATCTGAAATGTTCCTTGATTTCTGTTATCATCTTATCTGTTCACCCACACACCCACACACACTATCCTTGGGACAATAGTTGATACAGTAGTGTCGTGTACTCGTATATATAGGTGTGTGTGTTACTCCGCCGCCAGTCACTACACCATAAGTGACAGCGCTAAAACACAGTGATCAGTGTGTGGTGACGGACCATAATGCGGTACACTCTTAAGACACTACACTTACTAAAACCTATACTGCCACAGACTTTACTACATGGACACAGTACACGACACAGTGACACATATATGACACACCTGTGGTTACTTGTGTCACAGTGAAACGTTTATGACACACCTGTGATTACTTGTGTCATACTGAAACGTTTATGACACACCTGTGATTATTTGTGTCATACTGAAACGTTTATGACACCCAATGTTACTTGTGTCATACTGAAACGTTTATGACACACCTGTGATTATTTGTGTCATACTGAAACGTTTATGACACACCTGTGATTATTTGTGTCATACTGAAACGTTTATGACACCCAATGTTACTTGTGTCATACTGAAACGTTTATGACACACCTGTGATTATTTGTGTCATACTGAAACGTTTATGACACCCAATGTTGTGTCATACTGAAACGATTATGACACACCTGTGATTACTTGTGTCATACTGAAACGTTTATGACACCCAATGTTACTTGTGTCATACTGAAACGTTTATGACACACCTGTGATTACTTGTGTCATACTGAAACGTTTATGACACCCAATGTTACTTGTGTCATACTGAAACGTTTATGACACACCTGTGATTACTTGTGTCATACTGAAACGTTTATGACACCCAATGTTACTTGTGTCATACTGAAACGTTTATGACACACCTGTGATTACTTGTGTCATACTGAAACGTTTATGACACCCAATGTTACTTGTGTCATACTGAAACGCCTATGACACACCTGAAGTTACCTGTAGACGACAGAATATTTCAGCTGTACTGGCACACCAAGACAATGTCACCTCCACCATAACCACAGTCGCCCTAATACACTAAAACTACAGGCTTTCCATGTAATTAAAGAAACTAAATTAATACAAATAAATTAAGCACTAAATATTGCCTCATTGCGTACTGTAGTAAGATGTAACAAGCATTTTATATCATTTAGTGTATTTGTGAATATTAATTGTTGTGTGACTGTTGCTCGATTTACGCACGCACCGTATTTCGCCGTATTACTGTACTCCAATAAGTGCATTTCAGGTAATTCACTGTAATTTTAGTTTATTTTAGAGTGAATCTTCGCTATACTCGTCAAGTGAGGTAAATTATTTGGTTAGGTAATTAACTAGGGGATTTACTGATGTAATTATCCTCAAGAGCAGTGGTTCTTAACCTGGGGGGCGTCAGTAATTTCCAGGGGGGGCGCAAGCCCTAGGGAAAAAGTAGGAATTTCTCTAATTATAATTATAGTTTTTATTCTCTTAACAAGAGCGTGGGCTAATATTGAGAAGTTTATGAAAAAATGCAAAAGTATCGCCTTATAACTTTAGTTTTCTATAGGCTACTTTTTTGACTTAGGGCTTACCATTTTCTGTACTTATTGACCCCCTCCCTATCCCTCGAAACCCATGGGGGGAGGGGGGGTTAACTCGTCCTGGACCTGTATACTGCTCGTTGGTGACTGGTGAGCCCCGTTCTCTCCCAGTCTTCTGCACACGTCCGTGGCAATAATCCCTCTTCTCTCACATTTATTCAGTTAAGGCTGTTGAGGTGTGTCAGGCAACAGTGTAAAAGAGGAAATGCTGTTCTGTCACCCCATGGAAAGTTGTACAACAGCAGCAGCTATTTTTCATGATGTATCAAACTTCTTTCAGGAAAACCAACTTTCGTGGGACTCGCTGGTAGGGGTGTGCACTGATGGAGCTCCAGCCATGCTTGGTCTGCAGTTTGGATTCATTACAATGGTGAAAGAAAAAAATCCGTCTGTTGTAGGTACATACTGCATACTTCATCGTGAATCCTTAGTATCCAGAACTTTACCTGCTGAAATGAGGGATGTCCTGAACGAGGCTATCAAGGTAGTCAACTTTATCAAAGCTGGAGCCTTAAACAGTCGTCTCTTCAAACTGTTGTGTAAGGATATGGAATCTGAACATGAAACCTTGCTTTTTCACACGAACGTACGATGGCTATCAAAGGGGAACATGCTTGGACGGCTTTATGAACTACGAGAAGAAGTAGCAATATTTCTTGATTCGAAGCAGAAGGCAGATCTCCATGACAAGTTCCAGTCTGAAGGCTTTCAGCTATCTCTAGCTTACCTGGTGGGCATCTTCGAAGCGTTGAATGCTCTCAACCTTAAACTACAAGGGAAAAACATCAACATCATCATGCACCACGACACCATTCGAACCTTCATGGCCAAACTCGACCTCTGGAAGTGTCGAATTCAGCAGGGAAATACAGCCAGTTTTAGTAACTTGGATTCTGCTCTCATACACGGTAACCTTGATTCTGAGTTAAAGAAACAAGTAATCACTCATCTAACTGACTTGAAAACAGAATTCATCAGATACTTCCCAGAGATAGTTGAGAAGCGTGTAGCCTGGAAATTCATCAGGAACCCATTTCAATGTGAAGTAGCTGATGTTTCGGATGAAGTGCAAGAGGAGTTTCTTGAGTTGAAGTTCATCTCCACAACTAAGGAAAACTTCAAAGAACTGGATCTTGAGACGTTCTGGGTCAAGTACCTTCCTGTTTACCCTTTGATCTCACATCAGGCTCTTCGGATTCTAACTATGTTCGGATCCACGTATCTTTGTGAAGCTGCATTTTCCACGCTCGTTGCTGTCAAGACCAAGTACAGAAACAGGCTGAACGTTGAAGGGGATTTACGTTGTGCACTCTCTGGCATTCAACCACGCATTCAAGATCTAGTAACTAAGAAGCAGTGTCAAGTATCTCACTAATTTATACTCAATAAAAAGACTAAAAACACAATATTTTTCAGTTTTCTTTAAAATCTGGGAGGGAATTTTTTTCATAGATGCAAGGGGGGCGTGGAGGGAAGGACCAATTCCTAGAGGGGGCGTGGTAGTAAAAAGGTTGAGAACCACTGCTCTAGAGTCTAGTTAGTATTATTATTGCGACTATTAGGTGTAATGAACACAATGACAGTTCATATTGCTTACGAAGTGTATTTACCCCTGAGAAAACAACAATATGTCTAAAAAGTTTAGAAAAAATTTATACATAAAATTGTTAGAGGAGTCATAGACGAGTGAATGATAATGATAAAACAAGTTGGTGGTCGAAAGGTGGCAGCACCTACCGGCTCTTCAGTAATATATTATCCAAGAAACTATTTTTCATAATGTTATAGGGGTTAATGAATGTGGCAGGTAAGGAGCCTAAACAAAGAAAACAAATATTTTTTTTTGTGGATTGACAAAAATAACCAAAGCTGTTAAAACCTTGACTTTACTTACTTTTACTTTTATTCACTTCAACCACTATAGTGCGTCTTTTCCCATTTGAGAAGAGATGCCCCGCCAGCGTTCCCACTTCTGGGAAATTTGTCCCCAGATTGGGAAATCTGGACACATCTGGGGACAAATCTAGGGAAATGGGCTTTTGAGGGAATTTCTGGGGAATTTTGAATATTTTGGGGAATAATTAGGTAATTTGAGTGTGTTTGGTTTATATTATACCAATACCAGGTCTCTGAGTCAACATCTTTCATGAAAACATGAAGAGAGAAAGTATTGTGGGGCTACTACATGGAAAGGAAGGATTGGCATACCTGCTGATCAACTGAATTTGTACTATCATCCAACTGCTGAACTTGAGCCAAATGTCAAGAGCAATGCTTCCGATTCAGAAGCTCATCAACTCATTGTTGATATACTCAAGTCATAACTCATAAAATATCATAAACTCTAAATAAAGTGTTGGAATCATTTTTTTTTTAATTAAGTAGTTAATTTGGTATACATTTATGTTTTGGTGGATTCTATACCTTTGATTAAGTACCGGTAAATACTCGAAATATTAGTGGAGTGTTTACTCTTGTCAGAAAAACCAAAACAATAATTTTATTTTGTTTCTGCCCCAAATATATTAACCAAATAATAATGATAAAACAATAAAACCAAAACAATATTAAAAACCACAATAAAACTTTCATTTTAAACCGATATATATATATACTGTATATATATATATATATATATATATATATATATATATATATATATATATATATATATATATATATATATATATATATATATATATATGTGTGTGTGTGTGAATTTGGGGAATTTTGATCCAATCTAGGGAATTTTCAACCTTAGTTTAGGGAATTCTTCATCTGAACTTGTGGGAACACTGTGACCCGCTCCCTCCTCAAGAGTTACACCTGATTAGCTGTTGCAAATCTATCCTATCTTGTCCTGAAGTAATGATGTATTTCTAATAAAGTTTGGATGACCGTTTCTGACGAGAAAGATATTTAGCTAAATTATATAAAGATACATACATTCATTATTTCAAACGTGAGCACGTAGGAAGTTTATCAGAAATCTTATACATGAATAATAACTGTTAAACTCTGTTAGCAAATTACGCTTTAGGAGGACGCATTTAATATATACAATACTTATTTTTACCCACAATATAAGGCTTATTAAGACAAATTAAGTATCATTATTACTACATTATGTAAAAACTAACATTGTAAAAGTTCAGAATCACATTGAATTATTACATGGCAGTCAACAAAGGCGGGAAATATGAAAGTTGTTCGCAGTCAGGACGAAATCGGACAGATTTGCAACAGCTAATCAACTGTAACTCTTGAGTAAGAGGCGGGGCATCTCTTCTCAGCTGAGATAAAACGTACTATAATCGGCTCGTTAGGCGCTTGGGAGGCCAGTCAGGTCTCACTTACGCACTGTTGACAAGTATTGACCAGGAACTGCCTCCTGAATATATCGGAAACCTCCTCCAGTGTTGGTCAAGTTTTTGTCTTGAAAGAGCTCACACTCGGTGCCGTCATCTCACTCCCTGACAGATTGTTCCAAGAGTTTACAACTCTAACTCCGATTTTTTCCCTCTCTAGACTTGTGGCTTCTTCAACCTTGAGCTGTGACCCCTTGTGGGGCGGGCACCCTTTGAGATGTTTATACACTTCAATTAGGTCACCTCTTGCCCGTCTGTGATATATAAGCGAGGACAATGAGGCGAGCCAAGATAGCGGAGTAGCGGTGCTCGTTAAATCCGCGGATATTAGGAATTATATGAATAGTCGATTTTATTGATAACAATACGAAAATAATTGATACGTTGTATGCTAGTTAAAAAGGCAATATAAACTACACTCCAGCTCAAGTAAGGCAAGCCGGGGGGTCAGCTCAAGTCAGGGGTGGTCAGCTCAGGTAAGGTCAAATCAGGGGGTCAGCTAAGGTAAGGTCAAGTTAGAGGTCAGCTAAGGTAAGGTCAAGTTAGAGGTCAGCTCAGGTAAGGTCAAGTTTGGGGAGGTCAGCTCAGGTAAGGTCAAGTTAGGGGAGGTCAGCTCAGGTAAGGTCAAGTTAGGGGAGGTCAGCTCAGGTAAGGTCAAGTCGAGGGGTCAGCTCAGGTAAGTTATTTTTTGGATTGATAGATAGATAGATAGATAGATAGAGATAGATAGAGAGATGTTATTTATGAAGTTATGAATGTTTAATCACGATGTTCGTGTGTGTATGTGTATGTGTGTGTGTGTGTGTGTGTGTGTGTGTGTGTGTGTGTGTGTGTGTGTGTGTGTGTGTGTGTGTGTGTGTGTGTGTGTGTGTGTGTGTGTGTGTGTGTGTGTGTGTGTGTGTGTGTGTGTGTGTATGTGTGTGTATGTGTGTGTGTGTGTGTGTGTGTGTGTGTGTGTGTGTGTGTGTGTGTGTGTGTGTGTGTGCGTGCTCCCTACAGTTCAGCTATCAGAAGGTGGTCACTTAAGGGTCAAACTCATATAACTTAATACCACATTTATCTTAGATCAGTTAATGGGATAAGTTATCAACATTACTATATTAAAAAATAAAACATTCTACAGAGAAGAGTGTGGAGTACAGTCATGAAGCTGCTACAGTCGCTCATGTTGATGGTTGCCACTACTACTGTCGCTCTTCAGGTAAACTGTCTTCATCTTCACGTTTCCTCAGCCTTGTTACCGCAGGTGTGTCATTAATAATAAACACAACTATATACAGTACAGGTCTTCCACCACTATAGTGTTCACACAAGAACGTCAGACACCTTTGATGGATCTGATGTTATATATTTGCATAAACTGTATATTTGTCGGTACAAAATTATTATTGAAGTGCAGCTTACAGCAAGATAAATGTGTGTGTGTGTGTGTTAGTATAATTTAGTTATTTGTTTTCCAGATTCCTGAATGCTCAAAAGCCGTGCAAGATGACCAAAAGGAGAAACTTTGGGCCAATTTAACAGAAGATAACATACAAATAGTCAGTGTTACCTGCCCTCATCTCTTTGATAACACGGAAAGAGTAAAATGCTGCCCTAACTTCACTCTGGCAGAAGCCATCAAGAAGAGCAGTGATGTCAACTTGACAGACTTTAGATCACATATCGAACTGCTCAAATATTGTAAACCTTTTGAATCTATAACAAAACACACCACATTCTGTCACATTACGTTACATGCTCAAAACTATAAGCACTTGTTATATCTTTTCCTGGACCAGGAGTGTTCACGTTCGAATCATAATAACCTAAATAATGTTGTTGGAAATCTGCATTGTATACCTGTCACTCCACCACCCGCAGCTATAACATCATTGAGTACACCTGTCACTCCACCACCCACAACTATAACATCATTGAGTACACCTGTCACCACCACCCCTTCTAACATCATTGTATACACCTGTCACTCCACCACCCACAGCCACGCACCTCCCCAGTGTTCAAGATCAAGAATTTTGTTATTGTTGTCTCACCAATCTTTTGTGTTTGTGTGTTATAGTGGTTTTATTGGTAATACTAGTTATAATTCTGGCAGCCTGCCATTGCTATGCCAAACAAAGAAAGACAAAAGATGGAAAACACTCCTCGCACCAAAGCAACGCACCCAGAACCAACGGGGGAGGTGGTGGCGAGGAGAGTGAAACCATTGAATTAACTGAACGAGCCTCCTTACAACGAGAATGAACCATCCATGTACAACTAATGACGATAAAAAATTTGATATAGTATGTGTAAATATTTCCTAACTTTACATTAGTGGAGATAGTTTATTAACCCCTTGTTTATCTCAGTCTCTGTGTTGAAGGACGACTCCCGGTTAGATTTTAATAGTGATTATAAAAGAAAACGATAGATGTATAAAATTAAAATAAACTGATATGGTGTAGCCTACAGGTATACTGTAATTTGAACATACAACAGTTACACTGTTGAACAATGGTCTTTATGTCGTTTTGTATTAAGTCACATTTTATAATAAAAGTAGACGATTTTATTATTATTGTTATTATTATTATTACTGTACATATTATTATTATTATTATTATTATTATTATTGTTATTATTATTATTATTATTATTATTATTATTATTATTATTGTTATTATTATTATTATTATTATTATTATTATTATTATTATTGTTATTATTATTATTATTATTATTACTGTAATATTATTACTGTAATATTATTATTGTTGTTGTTATTGTTATTATTATTATTATTATTATTATTATTATTGTTATTATTATTATTACTGTATTATTATTATTGTTGTTGTTATTGTTATTATTATTATTATTATTATTATTATTATTATTGTTATTATTATTATTATTGTTATTATTATTATTATTATTATTATTATTAACCTCTTCTGTACACTAGAACACAAGAATGGGGGAAACTGCATAACTGGGATAACTTTTTTGGAGTGAGTATTAACAATCTGCCAGTGTGTTGTGACGGCACCCAGTGTGAGATCTTTCAAGACCAGACTTGACCAACACTGGAGCAGGTTCAGATACATTCAGGTGCCAGTGCATGCCCCAGTACTTGCCAACAATGCGTGCCAGACGTGACTGACCGTCCAAGTGGGTAAAGAATTGATCAGTGGTGAAGAGGATAAAAGTAAAAAAGTAGGTCATTTATGGTAAATGACGTGATCATTTCTTTATGTATTTATTATTACAGAGACATTGTTGAAGTGGATACTGGTGGATGTCAGACCGTGTAAGTGTTTTTATTATGACAACTGACAATATGAAACCACCAAACTAAACCCAACCAAAATTAACCAAACTAACTTAACCTATGTAAAAAATTAAATCGGGCTTAGGTTGGCTTAAGTTAGGTCAGGTTAGGTTGCATTGGTTAGTGTACTTTTGGAATTGTTTGTTGGTGTCATGTGATCTCTAGGAACAGTGACCAGCCAGGTTCATGCTGTACAGTATCCATTAAGTTTCATTAAATATCAATATCATTCTCTAACATGGCAAGATAATTTTTTGTTTACTTTTTTAAGCAGATGTTGCTTAATTTAACTTACTATACTGTACATCCTACCTAGTAATCTTTTGTTTCTCAATGGATTCTTAATTAGTCCCTTTTTTATAAAGCATTTTCCCCTTCTTAAATATTAACTTCATTTACAATGTACTAACTTCCTTTCCATATATTTTAAGTTATAGTATTTTCAGTATATACAATGTTTACAGAACAAGGCAGGGATTAAACAGGTCACTGGGGTCCTTTCGCCATCAATGAGTTTATTTTGAAAACAATCTCTTTGTTTATATGGCATCTCTGTTTCCTGTACAGTCTAATTCAAAAGTTCGCTCTCTCTCAAACTAAAACAGTATCAACCCCAGATGACAGCCAGGGTTTAAGTAAATTTGGAGATTCCTTAACGTGACTCAGTTTCACCACGGGGGATGAACTTCTGTCCATGACTACACACTCGACAAAATCATCTCGAACGCCCGGGCACGTTGGATGTGAGAAGGAGCAGAGTGGGGCTTGTCATCTCAGAATGGTTTCAGATTCTTCGTTCATTTTTCAGATTGCATAGTGTTTACAGTATTCGAGAAATTTTTGGTGTGAGTGTACTATCGTGGACAAAAGTTCGCTCCTTCCCAAACTGAAGCAGTATCGACCCGCACAACACACCCGCACTAGATAACAATCAGAGTAAGTCAGTTCGGAGACTCATTCCCGTGTCTCAGTTTCACTACAGGGAGTGAACTTTTGTCCACGATAATACATATGCACAGTATATAAAGAAACACAACTCCGATAACAACACTCATATATTTCACTCGTGAGCTATACCTACACTTAGTCCAGGATCACCCACCCTTACTACACCACCACCTCACACTCGCGCAATATACACTAGCTGGTTAATGCTCACACTTGCCTCAGTCCAGCACATACACAACCCATCCATCCTTTCCTTTTCTCCTCTCAGATTTAAAGTTTTGTGTCTGGATTCACCCCTAGACCTTAATTCTTACTCTGGTATGGTCAGGTACTTGTGTAAAGCAGACCAATTCTTTCTCAATCCTCCAACATGTTTGTGGTTTAAAACATCTCTGTAACCTGTTTACTTTATTGGAAAAATTATATGTTTGGCAGATAATGAGTCTAAATACAACACAAAGGCCCATTATTATAACTACAGTACAGTATTACCTTGCTTAACGCGGTTTCGCTTAGCGCGTTTTACCGTATACGGGTGCCTCGCCAGAGCCGAACTTTCACTTAACGCGGGTTTTTTCCACATATACGCGGTGAGTGTCCGGCTCGAGAGCTATTTTTAGATTCGCCCCACCCACCACCCTGCCTAACTGCCTGTTTTAGCTCATAAAATTCATACAAATTACCCGGCCAGAATATAATTTACATTGCTGGAATTCTTACAATATGATGATCATTTTGAATATAAACATCATAGATTTTGCATTAGACATACAAATTTTAGATGTAATGTTTACTCTGAGTAAATATGTTATCTTTTGTGCAAAATACTGTACTTAAGGTCCCATATAACTGTTGTGAAGCTACAAGAGGGGACTAAATTAGAATCCAGATAGGACTCGCAAGACTCTGGGATATCCTGTGAGAACAAGGTTCATATAAAAAAGTGTTCAATCACCCACAAAAGTCCTGTCATCTCTCCTCCTGCACCACGAACCCCGAGATTCGTGCTTGTGAACCCGAAGCAACAGAAAACACTGATGCACTATTCTTTCAATTAATGCTTCGGATTCACTAGTCTGAATCTTGAGGTTTGTGGTTCAGGAGTAGAGGCGACAGGAGTTTTGTGGGTAATTGTACATACCGGGTACATTTTACTGCTGCATTTGTGGGTTATATTGAACAAAATGGTTTCCTATAACCCAAAAACATAACACTTAAAGTAATTCTAAAAATATCCTACCCCAAAAAACTACATTAAGACTTATGGATTTGTAAATTTCCATAAAACTTGTAAATAATAATCCAAATGGTCCCACACAACCCAAAGCTGCATTATATTTGTTTAATGCAAAAATATAAGCTGTACAGTGCAACACATCTCTTATAAATATTGTGATTCAAAGTGATAAAGTTCCATATACAGTAGTTCATAGTTGTATAATTCTGCTAAATTTAGATAAAAATGTGCGGAGAAATTCACAGCCGAGGTACTGTACCTGAGAGGTCAAACTCCTGTACAAGTCAATTTTCAATCTATTACAAAAAAAATAATATGAAGAACTTTATTATATTATTAACTACCATATGAGCTGTAACAATAATAACATAACAATGTTTCTCATTACCACTGTCAACTGTAGGAACGTGTCAGTAAATCTTAAGATTGATTCACCTGTAATAGGTCAGGAAACTTATCAGACGTCCTTCACCATTCCGGCTGATGCAATTTTCGGTGAAGATAAACGTAACGGTTCACCAATATGGTTTGTAAAGGCACACATCACATGAGATTGTTTACCAAGCTTGGACTTGTGGTATGTTGGCATAGAGGTCGAGTGAGTCAGGATTGGAGAGAGCAGCCCTGTTCTTCACAGTTTCACCCTGGATCATCTGCCTCACAGCCACCTCCACTTTCTTCCCACTGAGGGTGTACTGAAAAATAAGAAAATACATACACAAAATATTTTAACCTTACTTTCTCTTATTGTTTACAATAATAAATACCTTTGATAAATACACTACTCAGTCGAGTGTCCTTACTTGGAGCTGGCGGACGCTCGCCCCACAAGGGGTCACAGCTCAAGATTGAAGAAGCCTTAAGTCCAGAAAACTGTGAGGGCAAACTTTTTCGGAGTGAGAGTTGTAAACTCTTGGAACAATCTACCAGAAAGTGTTGTGACGGCACCCAGTGTGAGCTCTTTCAAGACCAGACTTGACCAACACTGGAGCAGGTTCAGGTACATTCAGGAGCCGGTACATGCCCAGTACTTGCCAACAGTGTGTAACAGAGACGTAACTGACCGCCCAAGCAGCTAACGAGCCGATCATTTGGTGAAGAGGATAAAAGAAAAAGAAAAGTAACAGAATGTCCGATAGCCCAAGCGGCTAACAAGCCGATCAGTGGTGAAGAAGATAAAAGAAAAAAATGTGATGGGAACAATGGTTATAGATGCCAACAACTACAGTACATGTTATGGGAACAAAGTTATGGATGCCAACAACTACAGTACAAGGACAGAGCATGTGATGGGAACAAAGTTATGGATGCCAACAACTACAGTACAAGGATAAAGCATGTGATGGGAACAAACTCTCATCATGGTTTAAGCTGTTCATGTTACATACAGTTATTTATGTTATTAAAAAAAAAATATTGGACAGTTCATGGCTATACAGTACACATACTGACCTACTTGCTCAAGCTAAACCATAAGACGTGAACATCCATATGGTCTCCTGTGGTCTTAAGGAGTGATTTTTTACTGTTTTTATCATTGCAACAAAACTATTGCACTTTTTTAATAACTTTATATGCAAAACTACAAAACAAAAAATACCATGATTAAAAGTTATTTTTTAAAGTTAACAAAACATGGTGAAATCTGTGAGAGAATATAACTCAAACTTTTAAGATGTAGTGGTATTTACCCTGCAGGTGTAGTTTATGTAACTTGACTGTACTCATGACTAAGTGGAAGGAGTATCAAAGAAACTTTACTGTACTCTACTTTACCATCTTTCCCACATGTACAACAGAGTGCTTTATATTTACTGTATAATTCAGAAAGTATTGTAATTACTTCAATAATTCCTGTGCATACTGTACTTGTATCTACCATCTAAAACTACAATGATAAAGAAAATATCACAGTATACATCATAGGCTGCCCAAACAGTGAGCTTATCTACTGTTTACTTGCTGAGGTACCGGACTGTGGTGAAGTTTGGTGACACATAACGTCACTAAGAATGTCTCTACTATACATTAAAAAATCCTACCACTTCCTTTTAAACTTCAGATGTACTGTACAGGTATACTACTGTCCTGACAAATTAGTGTGGAAGGGGTATACAGGTATTTCTGTGGTCCTAAATGGCTTCTGAATACTGTATATCTTCTTAATTTTGCCTCACTGGTCTTGACTTGTCTCCAGGACAGACAATGGCGATGAGACATATTCAAAGGTGTTGGTGGATGGAGAGAAAAACTTACTGGTATTTCAGCAATGGGAAGAATGACAGCCGGAACATGTCTTGCCGAGAGTTCAGAGCGAATGGCTACTACAACCCTGCTCGTGAGTTCTGGAGTGAACTCTGCCGTGGGGTGTAGCTTCAAGAACAACACAACACGCTCTTCCCCGGCAGCATTCCTCTGACCCACACACACGCTGTCGCTCACTTCTTCAAATTTCTCAACTGAAAGGTATAACATTCAATTCTTTATTTCTATTGGTTTGGCTGATTAATAAATCTAAATTAAATACTTCAACATCATTACTGTATAAAATTCTCAATAAGCAACACTGACTTTTTTTTTTTTTTTAAATATGGGATGGACCCATCAGAGCACAGGTCAATGACCCACATCGGGGCCTGGGGGGTGAAAATATAATAATAATTATTAATAAAATTTAAAAAATTTATTAAATAAAAATATAATATATAATATAATACAATAATAATAATAAAAAAAATTAAAATTACAAAAAAAGATCAATAGTGAGAAATGATATACAGTATGTATGTTGTTTTGTCAAGTAAGATCACGATTGAAACCCTGCAATTGTGTGTAAATGAGGCAGAAAGTTAGACGAGCAACTTGGGACTTGGTCAAAAACAATTTTGTTGCCATATGGCAGCAGGGTCTACCATTAGACAATACATTATGCTTCCAATATCTTCCCAGGCGGTAGTACCTCCATTTGGTAGATGCCAATTACCTTTTCAGTACAGTAAAGTGTTATAACAAGGATTAGTTTTGTAGGTTCTCATTCTTAATGTTCACTTCTTATGGTAAAAGTAAGGCTGTGATCCAAACCATTTCCTTACTGACAATATATATTTTTTATGAGGAATCATATACTGTACTGTATTACAAGATAAGCTATTACTTCCTGTGTACTGTACTACACTGTACTTAATGTTCTTCTTGTGCCTCTTAAATATAATCTTACCAATATTATATATTTCAGCACTGCCAAATCTGACACCATTAGGGTTGAGAGTGCCATCACTTCGTCCCAACATTGTTATTCCTCCAGTTCTAGAGTTAATGATGATATAATCTCCGTGGGCCCAGGTGTGGGGGTACCTGAGAACAGACACAAGTATGGAAAAGGTTAATAAATTTCATAGGAATATATGCTGACCACCTGATAAACTTTGTACTGTAACATAAAATTTATTTTTAATGAATACAAATAATTTCCTGTTATGATGCCAGACAGACACAGTAGTGAACCAAGTCTCCTACCTCAATTGTTCTGTACAAAGACATACAGTACTGTAGTAATCTGACCACACTAAAAATGAAGGCTTGACCCTGAAATTAAATTTTCAGTCTGAGTCCATAGCCAGACAGCTCTCCCAAGACCGGTGCCTCTATATAGCCTCAAAATGTTAATTATTAGCAATAGCTACTTTCAAAGGGAGAAGAGATCTTATATAATACCAAGTCTGCCCGGTCACTCCACAACACACAGTCTGTCATCTTGATTTCAGTTCAAACCTTTGTGTTTGACTCTGTTTAGATTATTGATAAATCAGAGAGGGAGCTGCTTCAACACAGCCCCAGATTTATATTTGAGTTTGTTTTCTATATTCACTTGATACTGTCAGTGCCAACATTGAATTCTGAAACTAATATATACTAGTAACCATTCATTTACCTTGGGGACGAATACACGACACGGTTAACAATCACTCACCTTGCAAAATAAGCTTTTGTGTATTTAATACCACCATCGTCATTCCAGAAGTGTGTTGGCATGGAGGGGAAGGGCTTGGTACACACCAGGTCTCCTCTTGTGTTGTACACAGGTTGACCATTCTCCCCCCAGGCTTCCACGGCCATACCCAAGTTGCGTCCCTGAATCTCTCCCTCATACACTGGTAGGCTGGGGTTGCTGCCCATGAAACAAGATATAATGTCTGTACCACCTGGAAAGGAAAACAAGTTGTAGAGAAACATGATGTGAATAGTAAAAAAAATAAAAATTCATGATTTAATTTTTCTTATCAGTCCATAACAAGCAACTATGGATTCCTTATTCTGCCCCACGTACTGCTTGGGCAGTCAGTCACGTCTCTGTTACGCACTGTTGGCAGATACTGGGCATGCCCTGGCTCCTGAATATATGGGAATCTACTTCAGTGTTGGTCAAGTCTGGTCTTGAAAGAGCTCACTCGGTGCTGTCACAACACACACACTGGCAGATTGTTCCAAGAGTTCACAACTCTCACTCCAAAAAAGTTGGGCCCCTCACAGTTTTCTCAACCTGTGGTTTCTTCAACCTTGAGCTGTGACCCCTTCTGGGGCCAACGTTCGCCAGCTTCAGGTATGTACATTTCAACCGAGTAGTGCCCCCAAGATGTTTGTTGTATACCTCCACTGTCTAGGTATGCATTGGAAACTGTATACATTATTGTACTTATATGGTCTATGTACACTGTATACCTGCTATGTTTATATACTATATGCTAAGCTGTGCCCCTGCATTGTGTATATACTATACAATCAAAGACAAAAGTCGTGTCACGGTTTTGTCCGAAGATTAAATATAACTCGTGAAACATTATGAGAGCCCTACCACAAGGCAGAGCACACCAAAAGTTTAGCCCTTCGGCATTATGTTTTCACCAAATTTCACGAAACGACTTTTGTCTCTCATTGTGTGCATACAAGTAAAACAAACTGTAAACTTGTATGAAAATTTTATTGAATAAATTTTATTATTATTAATTTCCCCAACTTGAGAGGAATGGTCCACAAACTCAACTTTAGTGTCCATCGCTTAACTTAATCATTCAAAATTCTGGCAAAGCATACACAGTATCTAGACTTGTCCTTATTTAACTCTGTTATACCAAGACACTCATACCTGCTTTGAGGTGTCTTAAGGGTGGCACAGTCCAGACACACAGTGGGGTGTTACCCTTCTTGTTACACACCACAACAACATTTACTAATTACAGTATACATAAAAACACTTAGGATGATATATTAAAGTGTACAATGTACTGTACTTGATCTATAATGTGTACAATATAATAACCTGGGACCGCATACTCATAAGCATTTACGGGACTATCTCTTTGTTTACACTGTAACTGGACTTGGTCTCCGATCGGTATACTGTACTGGAAACAAATATTTGGCAGCGGACTCCGTAAGTGAGCCCGTAACTTACAGGACCTCCAGTAATACGCTCAACCCAGATATAGTAGTCGCTATTTCCCGATTGCATAACAAAAATTGATATATGTTAGAATAATGCTTGTTAGACTTGTTTATCATACAATAATGAAGAAAATATTTTGTACATTAACATACTAAGATATGATATTACAGTTTGTCTTTATTTTTTTTTTTTATTTTTTTTTTACGATAAGAGGAGGCTTGGGTGTTTCTATTTGTCGCAGAATGGGAGAGACGAAGCTTTTGTCTTCTTACAACTTTTCAAGTAATTTGTACCAAAATGGAAGATTTTTATTGTCCACATTTATGGTACAAATATTTGTTTATGACTGAGTAAACTTGCAGATAGACCTTATTAATGTACCCATGACTCCTAGTTAAATAATACCTAACCCAATCTAAGTTCATCAAACCTAATAAAAAAGGGGGTACAATTTATTAGTGGTATAACCTTTTTTTTCTTGGAAAAAGAATTATTTTCATAGATTTTTTTATCCGATACATTCAGTAGTGATTTTCTTTCTCTGCAAAATTAGTGAAATGTATTTTGCCCAAACAAACCTAACCTAACGTTACCCTACCTAACCTAAGAAAGCTGCAATTCACAAGACAAACAATTAAGTTATTTGTATTACTGTTTATTTTCTTACTTTATTCTAATCAGTGAATTCTGATATGGTAATCATTTCCTGTGCAAATGTCTCACTTTGTAGATATTTAGGTGCCTAGGCACGCACTAATTTGTCTTTCCAGCAGTAATGAGCCCGCGCTCTGCAGCTAAACTTTTCTCAGGGCTCGTGGCAGCTTCAGTGTCAGCATGAAGAGTGAAGGTTGTCTCCGGTTTTATATGGACGTAATTTGCAAATTTAAGGATAAAGAAGAGACCCTTCAATTGTTCAAAGACCACGGCATTGTTCCTTTAAATAGGGACTGTCCAAACTGTGGGAATCCCTATTCTTTCAGACCGGAGAGAAATTTTCCATTTCCTCAACACTCGACGTTTCACGCCATCACAATAAATCACTCCTCCGCCAGGGCTGCATAGACGCCAATGCGGCCGTATCAATTCACGTTCAGAAAATGCCTCAAATTTCACCATATCCTAGTAAGTTTTCTGTTTAATATACCGGAAGAGGGAAGATCCCCCAGGTAAGAAAGTTAGATAAGGTTAGGCAGGTTTGATTGGTTAGGTCTGTTTTTCATACCAACAAATGTTAAGTAGAGTTTATATTAGAAATATCCATTTTATAACACGTTTGCACAAACTACAACAGTGTCCACTATAAAAGCAGTGAAAATCTGGCATTTATATACAGTATTCAATTATTGTGTTGGTGCTGCTGATGAGTATCCTCGTCGTATGTCTTGGCTTCTGCCTCAAGAGCGACGACGGGCTGGTGCAAAGAACCGCTCCTCTCTCCAGCAGAATACCAATGACACATCCGTCACATACCACTTATCAGCAGGTTCTTCCTCATGCTCAATCCATAAGGGTAACTCGAGTGGAGGACTTCCAAGGTCATGCAATCCGCCTTCACTTCCTTCTTCGCCTCCTCCGTGTGCCAACGCCTCTTTCCACATCCCAAGGGAGGCCCCAAACTCCAGCTGCCACCAGGGGTTACAGAAGGAGGTGTGCAGCATAATGACAACGTTAAACGGGGCGTGACAGATGAAGATGATTATTGCTAGGCTTTCTTTGATCTAGATGTGGGGAATCAACTTGAGAAAGAAAAGGAGGAAGAGGGTGAGTGACAACTCCTTATATAAAGGATTTGGTGAAAATGAGGAAATATGATCAGAGAAAAACTGAGAAGATAAAAAAGAAAACTGGAAAGGTTTGAGAGTGTGGAAGGTCTAGACGGATGCTTGCCCCACAAGGGGTCACAGCTCAAGGCTGAAGAAGCTGCAGGTTCAGAAAACTGTGAGGGCAAACTTTTTCGGAGTGAGAGCTGTGAACTCTTGGAATAATCTACCAGAAAGTGTTGTGACGGCACCGAGTGTGAGGTCTTTCAAGACCAGACTTGACCAACACTGGAGCAGGTCCAAATACATTCAGGAGCCAGTGCATGCCCAGTACTTGCCAAAAGTGTGTAACAGAGACGTGACCGATTGCCCAAGCGGCTAACGAGCCGATCAATTGGTGAAGAGGATAAAACAAGAAAACTGAATTTACAGGGTAAACACCAAGCTACAGACCCGTAAGTTAATTTTGAGTATGGGAAATTTACGGGGCTGTAAGCAGTCTCTAAATTACGGGACCGTATCTCTGCTACTGTACGTAACTAATGAGGTTGAGTATGCGACCCCTTTACTGGAGTTGATCTATAAAGTGTACAGTAGAGTATTTACCTGTGATGGAGCCCAACATAACATCTTGCTTAATGCTGGAGTAGACATAGTGGAAGGAGTGTGGAGAGAGAGGAGATCCAGTGGAGAGGATGGCCCGCAGGGAGGACAGGTCGTGTGTTTCACGGGGATGAACTCCTTTTTCCTCCAACACATCCAACCATTTAGCACCTGTCCCCAGCACTGTGATTCCTATAAGAGTAGTTCACTCGTGGTTAATATTTTAGTGATATTATTATTATTAGATTCAACAATTTACCTTATGTTCACAACAATACTGTACAATGAACCCTCCATATTTAATGGACTTCTCTCTCCATACAGTATATTCATTTAGAGGGGGGGGGGGGGTCAGATGTAACACCCTCGAAATAATGGGCTTCTATCACGGACCCTTGATATAATGGACTTTCCTCTTCATACAGTCCGTTAAATAAAGGTTTCACTGCACCATACAATGATAATCTTGGGTTGTGTAGACCTAACCTAACTCGGCAGGGAAGGAAGCACACGTAGGGAACTGTACACTTGACACATATTTCGATCATACACTCTTTCTCAGGACATAGTGTAGAGATTAAACTTCCTAATAACTACTTGGTGTTTCCTTTATTATCACACTGCCATCTATCCCAATCAATTATATTGATCTTACCTAACTTGTCAACCAGATCCCAGAGTACATTGGGAGTTGGCAGGAGCGGTGAACCGTCATACAGGAAGAGAGAGCAGCCAGAAAACAAACCCACCACTAGCCAGTTCCACATCATCCAACCAGTCTAGAAAATATTACACAATTAATAACTAACTGGTTCACTATATACTACAGTAAATATATGTACAAAGAATGAAGAAGTTTACAAGAAATATACTAAGTATTTCTTCCCTTTATCCAAATTATTTTATTTTATTTGGTTTGCTTAGATCTTGATAATTTCTCTTTGAGGACAACAATGAAAATAATTATGTATAACTGCACTGTCTAGGTTGATTGTTTGTATAACTGCACTAACTAAGGTCATTGTATACCCACACCTTTAAAATACACTTACCGTGGTGTAGTAAGTGAAGACGTCATCCCTCGTCAGGTTACAGTGCAATACGTGTTCTTTTGCTATTTGAATAAGGGTCCCCTGGTAAAGACACACATTTAGAACATCAAAGAGCAAAGTGGCAAGAAACTTCTGTCATGTCTATCAACTTTACTCCTCTCCAAAATTAAATTACTTTAATATAGAATAATTCAGGATGGCCTTATAAAGTGTTTATTAGGTATAATAATGACCAAGGTGTTCTGTCGAACATTTTAGAGTTTAGTTAATCACATGTCCTCACTTGTTGATGTACGAGGTGAGGACAATGTTGGTGTTGTAATACAAGTCTTCAAGTGATTGCCACAAGAATGGGTACAGCAGTAAGAATACATTTTCTAGACACCCTGTAAGAACTCCTGCAATACAGTATCAGGGCCGGATTCAGGAGTGGGCAAAGTGGGCAGCTGCCCAGGGGCCTCCACAATCTGGGGGCCTCCACATATCAGGGCTGGTCGACTTGAAACCACATGAATGACTCCAGGCATGTCTAACTTTTGTGTATGTGTGTGTTGGGAATTTGTACACTATCAATAAATATACAGTTAATTAAAAATTTCTCAATGTTCTAATTTCCTCAATATAACTGCATATGGCTTCAAAATTCTCCAAAGAAGTGTTCAAATTTCAAAATTTTCCCGGGGGGCTTACAGCGCCCCCCGAAACTGCCAGATGTTTAGGCTCGCTTCACTCACCACCCCACCCTCTTGGGTAATTATAACGAGGGGGGCCTCCACAAAGAGGCTGCCCATGGGCCTCCACAGGTCTAAATCCGGCACTGTACAGTATTAATCTTGTCGTGTACAGTCGACTATTAAAGTCCATTCGTCTCTCCCCCTGAACCACGAACCCCGAGATTCAGACTCTTGAATTCGAAGCATTTATTAACATGCTGTAATAATGTATGACTCGTCTAGTGCATCGGGTTCATGAGTCGGGGTTCGTGGTTCAGGAGAATGGGTGAACGAACTTTAGTAGTTGACTGCCCTGTGTTGTAAAATGTGAGGGAAACTTACCCCAACAGAGTGGACCATACATTTAGGTACACCTGTAGTTCCTGATGAAAACATAATGAACTGTGGGTGGTGAAAGGGAACTTGTTCAAACTCTATGTCTTCGTCACTCTCCCACTCGGCCAGGAAGTCGTCTAGGAACATCCTTGTCAGTAAAAATACAGAGAGAAACTGTTTAACGAAATATATGGGAGAGAGTAGTCCACTATGTCGAGATTTGTTAGATATGAAACCTCCATATAATAGAGTATATGGGAGAGTAGTCCATTATATCAAGATCTGTTGGATGCAAAAGCCTCCATATAATGGACTACTTTATATCTATTAAATTTGTCAGTTAAATGGAAGTTTCACCGGACCTGTTATGACATCAAGTTATTTAAGCAGAGGAGAAATGATTCCAAACTGAACTGTGGTGTACTAAGTCTTACACACTACACATACTATAAGAAATCAAAGGTGAATACATAAATTATAGAAGAAAAAAATTCCAGAGTATATTATAGTAAATTTACTCACCCATTGGGAATATCTGATAAATCAATCTCATTCTTCTTGTGGACAAACGGGATGATGACAACTTTCTTAAGATTCTTCAAGCCAGCAACAACTTTTCTGACCTTGTTGAGGTGGTTGTGAACTTTGCCATTGTACACGACCGCTTCAACAGAAAACAAAACTGTTGGTTCTATTTGAGTGAAGCGCTCCAACACACCCTGAGGAAAATATATATATACAGTATATATTTTTCTTACTTTTTAACTTTTTTTATTCATTGTCTACATTCATACAAAATACATAACTAATTGTCTTCATACATACATAAAATACATAACTAATTGTCGTCATTCATACATAAAATACATAACTCTTCATTCATACATAAAATACATAACTAATTGTCTTCATTCATACATAAAACTTAACACAAAACTTGAAAGAATTACTAATATAACAAATTAAATAAATGCCAAAATAATCTCTCATTACAATGTCCATTGTCCACATGAAAATATTACTGGATATTCATGTATGGATATTTTTCAGCTGTTCTTGGTCAAAATGCCTCGCTGTATACTAATGTTGTTTGCTTGCATGGTCTGGGTATAATGGAAATTGTATACAGCACTTGAACAGTGCACACTCTATGTACAGTCGTTCAAAGCCTTTTTTATAAAATTATATGAGACAATATGACACAAAGGACGAAGGATTTTGACAACCCTACTGAGACAACAGGAGTCGGTGTTCATTCTGAAATTCATTGAACCCCCCCCCCCCCTCCAAGTACAGAACGTACTGTAGTTTTTTGATCGACTGTATACTGTAACTACATTATCTTGTCTATACAGTATATTGTCTGAACTGTATACTGCACCTGTGCACAGTCTATACACAATATACAGTATGCGTAACCAATTGTAAACTTGTATAACAATTTTACTGAATAAATATCACTATTATTAGTAGTAGTACAGCACTGTATTAATAGTATAACATCTACTGTACAGTAAGTCCTCACTTAACGTCGTGGTTACGTTCTTGTAAAACACAACGTTAACGGAATCAAGTTTCCTCATAAGAAATGGATAAAATACATGCTAGTTACGTTCCCCAGCCTCCCTTTGCCCCATAAAATACATTACATGTACATAAGTTCAATAGAATTTTTATAGAAAATATATATACAGTGGGGTATGCTATAACGAATCTAATTGGTTCTAGAACCTTGTTCGTTATAGCATTCGTTCGTTATAGGATTAATCCGTTCCAGGCCCCCAAATACAACCACTTAACACTGAAAAATATAATATAAAATTGTAAAAATTGAAAAAAGTGCATAAATATGCATTTAAACCCCTGAAATAAAGAATATCATTAATACTTGTAATAAAAAAACAATAAATTAGTATAAAAAAAAAAGTTCGTTGTAGGAGTTTCATTCGTTATAGCATTCTCAATTTTATCGGTAAAACCGTTCGTTATAGGAATATTCGTAGTAGAATCCATTCGTTACAGCATACCCCACACATCCAAAAAGATAAACAAACTAAATAGAAGTACCACTTCCAGCACTACTGTAGCTGTGCTGGTCCAGATAGTACCCACTGTGGTGGGAGTTAGGCCTAACGCTACACTAATGTCCACAGCACGTTCACGTTTGTCAAAGCCGTTTAAAAGCTCCTTTTTTTTTGTAGCAAGACTAATGGTCTTGCATTGCCTCTTCACAACACTAGCATCAAACACTTGATGGACACTTAGGAGCCATTTCGAATGGTTACAGTACAGTATTTACTGTATTTATGGCAAACGCACTTAAGCACACACGTATGCTGTGGAAGCTTAACAAAGACGGGGAAAAAGTCTTGGATGCTGTGACGCTCTGCGAGAGAGCGTAGCAAGCCAAGATGAGAGAGGGTGGCTCGCCGTATAAAGTAGTCCGTGTTGGGTAACAACGTTATAACGAATCGGTTGGGTCATAAAACAACATTGTCGGACTAATGGGTATCTATAGAGTAGCAACGAAACAATGTTGTCTGGGACAACGTTAAGCGGGGACTTACTGTCATTATTATTATTGCATCATTATTAATATTACTATCATTATTATTACTACAGTATTACCGTAACGCCAAAGTCCGGAGATGTTGAACTCCAAACAGCACCCAACGAAGCTGTCCCAAGCATGGCCTTAACAGCAGCAGGAGAGTTAGGAAGGTAACCCACGACACGGTCTCCATTCTTCACACCATGACCCTTCAGTGCTCTTGCATATATACCAACTTGTTTGTATAATTCTTTATATGTCACATTACTGATGTTTGGCTGCCCTTCCCCTATAGCATTGGGGGAGAGATAGAGTTGTTATACTGTACTATATAACAACCTGGTTAAATTATTATACTGTATCTATAACAAAAATGGCTATACTATTATTACTGAACCTGTAGCAAATGTTGTCTGAAGTTTATTTTTATATACCGTACAGGAAATGAAACCATATAGAGGAAAACTATACAACATAATACTAATAAACTTTAACTGTCTGTCACCTGTTGCATAAATGGCCACTCGATCATCCCGGAAGCGTAGAAGATTCTCAGCGAAGTTAAGTCTCGCGCCCGAGAACCATTTTGGTACTTGTGTGATGCTGAGACTCATGTCCACAATTTGGGTGGGCGGAGAAGAGTATACGAACCTCCCAAACTCCCACCATGTCTCCCAGAAATGTGCGTACTCTTCCACCGACCACTTGTACAGTTCATGATAATCACCTGTAGAAGGAAGAAGTTGGTAGTGTGTTAACATGGGTATCACTCACCGTGTGTCCTGGGTTCAACCTCTGACCTGGGACAGATGTGAGAAGTGTGTTATCTAGTGACAGTTTCCACCTGTTACCTAAAAGAGTTCTTGATAGAAGACAACTTGTTTCTTTATATCATTTTGTCTTCCAGCAACAGTTGTGACTGTGTGTGACAAGACAGAGGCAGTAGTCACACCCTAGACAGAATTAACACAGGTATAATTGTCCATTAATCACAATGGTGTTGTGTAAGTGTCCAATGCCCTGGGGTAACAATGTATACCTTTAAGAACACAAGAATGAAATAAACTGCAGTAAATGTGTTGACTCAAGTGAGACGGCAAGTCCTGTTTACACCCATTGCTCGTATGTCTGACCAACCTACTGTACTGCGCACATCATTGCCATTCCTAAAAAAAAACCTATAATTCATATTACGCTACATAACATTCAAATCCACCGCGCTTGTAGAGTCTCAGAGCACGGGTCATTGATAAAGACTAATTCACCTAATGAATGTTACGGAATTATTTGATGAATTGTACCCAACTACGGGTTTATAATAGTAATTGCATGTACTCATTGCATTAAGGAGAACTCAAGGTACCTATAGGAGGGTTGTGAGAGTCCAATTAATCTGGGCTAGTGTACTATCCGGGCTAAGTGTAGATCGTGGTTTGAAGGTCATACTATTTATGTCTGTGAATGTTTAGTGAACATAACTTCCGCAGATATCAGATGAAAATACACGAGTGGGTAGCATGTTAGCTATCCCGAAGAGGAGACGTGTTTTTCCCACTCGTTTTATACTCATGATCCCTCTCTAAGTCCTGCCCTTGTGAAGACAGTCGTCAATACGTTTATTCCACTTTCTCCTAGCAAGCTCAATGTTGAATTAGTTTATGTAAATCAACTCGAGTAATTCGCCAGACCTTTGTCAACTGAGGGTCATCTTTGAAGGTGTAACAGTTGGTTTGTTTATAATTTCTGTCATTTCGTGAGTAGCGATCGCTGGCAACTCGGGTATATAACCACGGGTTAGCGGGAGGATCAAGCCTCCCGTAATGCCATCCAACTTTGTTGTCCTACAGGTATGTGGATGTGTTCCCTAGTCATTCAGTTTGATTCAGTCAAATGTAGTGAATATCAGTGTTCATGCTGTGACAGTGTAATTGTTATTCACCCAGTGTGAGAAGAAATATAAAGTAAATGTCGTCTGATGCTGCGAGACAAAGGATTTGTTGTGATTGTGTTGTCCATGCTTCCCTCCCGTAACACCATCCAACTTCATTGTCCTACAGATCCAGGGTGGGCTTAATTGAACACCGACCAGTCGCTCGGAGCCGGGGGATATTCAGCAGTGATCAATATATGAGCGATGGCGCTAATTCGGCATGATTAATCTGCTCCACTCTACCTCGTGGAGCCAGACCCCAGACTCGCCATGTGTCTGGCTACCACCGATCACAGCCACGGTCGTGAGCCCCGGTGTCCTACCCTGGGACGCTTCCTGGAAGTTATATGTCCACAGTGTTGTTGAATGTGTTTGGGGGTAATTCTGGAATAAGTATCCCATGTTGGGTAGTGGACCCATCTATGAGTTGGTTTCAGTAATAACATGTTGTGTGTTGTGAGTGCATCTCATATGCACTACCAACAGTAAGTGAAGTATCATATGGAAGTTGTCATGTATGTAATGAAATGTATCACCAGTAATATGGGTGCAGTAAAAGTATCCACTTGGATTGGCTGTTGAGAGAAGCCAAGGAATTATCATGTAACTTTGTAATGTAACACCAGTAAGGTGGTGAGTAATAAGAGTAGTATCTGAGTAATTTGCAGTTGAGTTATATGTTAATAATATTTTTTTCCCACTTTGATTCCATTGTAATAAACATTTTCTTAGAGTATATCAAGCAGGGCTGTGGAGTCGAAGACAAAACCTTCGACTCCGACTCCGACTCCTCAAATTTTTATGCTTCCGACTCCGACTCCGACTCCTTGGCCTATTTGTAACAACTATTTCTACCATCCTAATTGTAATTTGTATGTTGTAACCTGCATAGGTAAAAAGTAAAACACCGTGGCTATACTGCTACAGCTTTATTAATGATCTGGACGATATTTAAGAACTACAAAAAGATGATAGGCTTGACTTTCAAAGTTTCAATCAAAAGAAAAATAAATTTATTAAGAATTCAAGATATTAACTAGAAAACACCATTTACATGTATATCTAAAAGTTCGATCTCAGCATATGAATTTTGTTTAAGCTCATAATCTGATGTGGATCTAAATGATGATCCTACAATTCCTTTTAAAGTAAAGTTATATATTTATGTACATTAAAGAAATGAATACCTTATTAAGGAAAATGGATAAACCTTACATGATTAAGTTATTAAATTAAATTTGCCTTAATCTCACCAAAAACAGGTTGTAGCTAATTGTTTTGTAGCTGAGAGCCTCTGTGCAGTTTTCAACGAAACAAAATTTGATATAATTCAAAATTTCAAATGGTAAAGAAGAGACTATCGTCCAAAATTATAGTGCTATACTGTGCCTGCTACAATAAATTCATAATAATGCTTATAAAATGGAAATAAATTCTTTTAATAATTTAAGAAAATTAGTGGGATCAGTGGAATCACTGCAATGAATATGCCTGAGTTCATATATTTGTTCTTAGGAACAGAATAGCTTCAGTCGGAGTCGGAGTCGGAGTCTGGACAATTTTACCAACTCCGACTCCGACTCCACAAGCCGAAATTTCCTCCGACTCCTCGACTCCGACTCCACAGCCCTGATATCAAGGGTCTTCATTTAACCACAGTAGTTCACCTTTATTTCCGTCCAAGTGACCCTGATATTAGAATTGTAATACCCATGTGCCTAGACCCTCGACATGCTACCAAAAAGAACTGAGGTTATGTAGTAACCAATGAACTGAAGTAAGTAGAAAAAACAATTGAAAGAACTAAGACATGTTATGGTTTCACCCTTCCTTCCCCTTATCGATCTGGTCAATGAAAAACCTAACCCAATGCCTAGTCCACTCTTCCAGCTACCTAACGAGCTACATACTGCCCAGAGGGGGTCTGGTGGCAGCGACCCTTAGAAATTAAAAATAGAGTTAAGTTATCCCCTTAGACTTAGTGACCCCAGATCTAGCAGTATACTACAGTACAGTATTTAAAACTTTTCACTGAGTTCGAGTTAATGTCTGATTTTGACAACTTGTTCTATTCATCTACATCTCTATTTCTGAACCAGTGTTTACCCAATTTATCAAGGTTGGGATGAGTTAGGTTAAGTTAGGTTTTACCCAGTTATTTTTTCTTAATCAAGTTTGGGATGGGTTAGGTTTAATCAAGTTAGGATTTGTACAATTGGTTTTCCTTAATCAAAGTTTGGGTGGGTTTCATACAGTACCATACCATTAAGCTGTACAACTGGTGAAACAGGTTACAGAAAGTGGTGCTGTAGTTAACAGCTGTAGAGAAACTCCCCAGAGATAGTGAAAGTGGTCTCAACACATAGCAACAGTCCACGTCTACAAGGGTTTAATTTTAATTTCGAATTTTTCCTTTCACCACTTATCAGTTTACTCAGACTGTACTAACCGTTCAAGTAGTTGGTCTGTTTCTGGTTACTTTATTACGACTTTTTTTTTTATCCAAACTACAGGAGGAAAAATTGTCCAGTGTCACTACGAGGAATTGTCCAGTGTTAGTACAGGAGGAAAGCGGACTGTGAAGAGCTGCAGAAGGACCTCTGTGGGCTCCAGGAATGGTCGAAGAAATGGCTGGTGAGATTCAATGTCACGAAGTGTAAGAGGATGCACCTGGGGCGTACCAACGGTAAGGAGGCGTATCATATGTCCCAACGGGATGAAGAGACTGCACTATCTGAGATTGAATGTGAGAAGGACCTCGGTGTGTATGTTGACAATGAGCGGCTTCTTCAATCTTGAGCTGTGACCCCTTGTGGGGAGAGCGTCCGCCAGCTCCACGTAAGGACACAGCTAACTCATGTGATTAAGTTTACCAACGTTTTGGTAAGTACTATGATATCGATTTTTTCGGTACACACTAATGCCGATTTCATCCATTTTATTTCTCTCTTCCTGTGTTGACCTCTTACCGCATCTCATACTTCTACTGTTTGCGTATTAAATAGTGATGACCTATTGTGATGATCTATAGTGATGATCTATAGTGATAACCTATTGTGATGACCTAGTGATGATGATGACCTATTGTGATGACCTATAGTAATGATCTATAGTGATGAGTGGAGGGAGAAGAATATGGAATAGAAGGGAGGTGGAGAAGAAGCGTAAAAGGGGAGAGGAAGGAAGAATAACGAGACCATGCTAGTGATCAGTTGACACAAATAGTCTACAATGGTTATCTTTACACACCATCACTTGACCTAACTAAAAGTAATCTATCTTTACTCACATAGTGCGCCTATTGGGTGTGATGACCAGCGTACAGGTTAGGTTAGGTTAGGTTAGGTTAGGTATGAGAAACTATGGAATATACTGACTGATATATTGCCTTAACAATACAACAACTATTAATCTCACTGTTATTTAATTCCAATTTTACTCCACAAAGTTCACAATATACGGATGTTGAATAAATGTTGAATAAATGAGTTAGTTGTATTAGGAGTATCGGTGGTAAGGTTTTTATTGTGTTACGAGATATAAACCTGGAGGGGGTCTGAGTCCACGCAGACAACAGCCACCCACTACACAATATTCCTCTTACTTACCCAGAGATGTGCTGTATTTTTGGTTCACAATTTCACGGAATTCGTCAATTTTTGTTTTCTTTCTTACGTCAGGTCTCCACAAACACATGTCTTTGCCATTTTCCTGCATTTTGTAACCTTTAGTTTTACTGTGGTGAGCGGTACATGTGCTCACTACTGAAGTTGTGGTGTGACTACCAGCTGATGCCTGTCTGCCAACCACAGCTCACGGGCCTCTACCTGACGTCATCGTAGACACACAACTCTCACTAAAATTATTTCTCCTGTACAGAGTAACTTAGGCAAGTTTAACTAAATAATGTTTTTCTCTCGCACATAACTCTTATACGTGTCAACATATTGATCTATCTCCTCGCTACCCACATCTACATTGCCTACACAAATACTGACTATATCTGGCACCATAAATATGTGGTAACCTTATAATGCAAAATTTATATCCGCAGAAAAAAACCCGAACCTTAACTATGGTAAAAAGTGAAGGTTGTCAAGATCAAGTCGTGTTCCTCATCATACTGAAACAATCTGTTGGTATAATATTGTGGCTACATAGGTAAGAACTTTAATATAAAACTGTTTTAGATAACGTTTCAAAGTAATCAAAGAAACAATAATTATAAACCGTTATTTTCAAGCACTCGATCATGGCCACATACATACTGGGGTGCCTAATCTTCAGGTTAAGGTTGTGTTAGGTTAATATTATGTTAGGATACTGTTACTTTAGGTTACTACTAGGCCTGAACGTGTGCATAAGTTACTGTTCTTCTGTTTATACTCTGAGCATTAAATAATAATAATAATAATGTATATTTTTTGCAGATGTTTGTGGTAGAGCGGTAATGCACGCATCTCTCACCAATATGACAAGTGTTCAAGTCCTGCTTGGCCCAGAGACAAACTAATCGCGTGAACGGCAAGTAAGCTGCAGATATGGTGAAATGAATAATAATACTTGACGTACACTCCATCTGATTGGTGTACATTACCTATGTACAGGTAACACTGACATAAAGATGTTATACAAACAATTCCTCAACTTTCTACTGCCTCCACCTCACACACACACATCTCTAAGGCCCTAACACATACACACCCTAGACGCATATACACACACTCACACACATACGCAACATTTCTCTGGTATACAGTTAATACCAAGGCACCCAGTAACCTACAGGTGAAGGATATCTGGGCTGGCACACACACGCACACACCAACGTCTCGCCACGCATACACACAGTTCTACACACTGCAGTTCTACTCAGGATGGATAACATACTGTATATTTCTTGCAGTGGTTTAATGATAATAATAATAATAATAACAAAATAATTATGATTATAATAATATATGTCAGTCTAGTGATTTTTTGGCTTCTTGTTAAGTGTAACTAAGGATGGTTGTGTGTTAAGTGTAACTAAGGATGGTTGTGTGTTAAGTGTAACTAAGGATGGTTGTGTGTTGCTAAGTGTAACTAAGGATGGTTGTGTGTTAAGTGTAACTAAGGATGGTTGTGTGTTAAGTGTAACTAAGGATGGTTGTGTGTTAAGTGTACTAACTATGTAGTGGTGGTTGTGTAGGATGGTTGTGTGTGAGTGTAACATGATGGTGTGTTGCTGGTAAATAGGATGGTTGTGTGTTAAGTGTAACTAAGGATGGTTGTGTGTTAAGTGTAACTAAGGATGGTTGTGTGTTGCTAAGTGTAACTAAGGATGGTTGTGTGTTAAGTGTAACTAAGGATGGTTGTGTGTTAAGTGTAACTAAGGATGGTTGTGTGTTAAGTGTAACTAAGGATGGTTGTGTGTTAAGTGTAACTAAGGATGGTTGTGTGTTGCTAAGTGTAAATAGTTTGGTCCTCAGAAAGTTTATGCAACTCGAATCAGATCCTAAACCCGCCCCTGACTACCGGGTTAAAACTTGTTTATGCAAGGTCGTGTGTGTGTGTGTGTGTGTGTGTTAATGGCAAAGTATTACGGGTCCTTCATAATGTCAAGCACCACTATTATAGGTTTGTCACAAGTGATGGTGACGGCTAGAGACATATTGTAGGAGGGGTCGACCTGTAGGAGGAGGAGGAGGGGTCGACCTGTAGGAGGAGGAAGGGTCGATCTGTAAGAGGAGGAGGAGGGGTCAACCTGTAGGAGGAGGAAAGGTCGACCTGTAGGAGGAGGAAGGGTCGACCTGTAGGAGGAGGAGGAAGGATTGACCTGTAGGAGGAGGAGGATCGACCTGAGGAGGAGGAGGGTCGACCTGTAGGAGGAGGAGGAGGGTCGACCTGAAGGAGGGGTCAACCTGTAGGAGGAGGAAGGGTTGACCTGTAGGAGGATGAGGGTCGATCTCAGAGGAGGAGGAGGGTCGACCTGTAGGAGGAGACCTGTAGGAGGTCGACCTGTAGGAGGAGGAAGGGTTGACCTGTAGGAGGAGGGTCGACCTGTGGAGGGGTCGACCTGGGAGGAGGAAGGTTGACCTGTAGGAGGAGGGGCCGACCTGTAGGAGGAGGAGGAGGTCGACCCGTATGAGGAGGAGGGGTCGACCTGTAGGAGGGGTCAACCTGTAGGAGGAGGAAAGGTCGACCTGTAGGAGGAGGAAGGGTTGACCTGTAGGAGGAGGTCGACCTGTAGAGGAGGAGGAGGGCGACCTGTAGGAGGAGGAGGGGTCAACCTGTAGGAGGAGGAGGAGGGGTCGACCTGTAGGAGGAGGAGGTGTCAACCTGTAGGAAGAGGAGGAGGGGTCGACCTGTAGGAGGAGGAGGGGTCAACCTGTAGGAGGAGGAGGAGGGGTCGACCATGTCCAATCCGGGACTCTTATGAACCTTTAGCTTTGAGTCTCTTTCTTATAATCTCTTCTGTGAACACAATGTGGGTCAGTGCTGTGTCGTACAGCCTATCCTCAAACACAGGAAGATTGTTCGTACCCTCTCTTGTGAACACCGAGGAAAAGAAGCTGTTCAATGCCTCAGCTTTGTCCTGGTCAGACTCTGCGTACCTACCATCGTCAAGCCTCAAATCCGATACTCCTACTCGTGATTTTAATTTCGAGTTTGCATAACGGCAAAACGCCTTTGGATTTGTCTTGACCTCTCTTGCAACCAGCCTCTGGAACTCATTTTCAGTCCTTCTACACTCTGCCTTTGCTTGGTTCCTGGCTCTTGGGTTTGGTCTTGGGTGTGTACAGTATTTATCGATCAAATGATTTATTTTACTAGCTATGGTATTTAGTGTAGCGTCCGCGTTCTTATGCCTTAGTGAGTCAGACCAGTGAATGCCCCTCATCTACTCCATCATCCCGTCGTAATTTCTCTTGTAATATTTGCACCTTGGCCTGGTTATGTCGTGCACCGAGTAACAATTAAACCCGAAGGATAGCATTACATGGTGGCTGGTGCCAACTGGGGCTAGATGTTCCAGTTTGGCCACCATACCCTCTTCGTTTGTCATGATGAGGTACAGTGGCTTGGGCAATGCGTCGGGTCTTTCACATATTGGAACTGAAAATGATCTCTCAGAGTTTCTACAAAAAGAATAGCGGGGCTATTTAAGTAATTTGGCGTGTGCTCATTGCTCCAGTCGATGTCGCCATAGTTAAAGTCCCCCTTGATAAGGAGGTGGCTTGGGTTGAGCCTCACTGCGTTGTTCATTAAGGCTCTTAAGTTCCTTTGGTTTGGTAAACTGCAGTTTGGGGATCTGTAGATGCACTTGACAATAAGTACATCTCCTCCCTTCGACTTAATTTTACACCACTTTGATTCTTCATAAACATCTTCTCCCTGTACCCTCACCTGGCTTGCTCTTAGGTCTTGCCTAGCATAGATAACCACACCCCTCTTGCAAGTTACTTGAGAAAGGTTCGTAAATAAGTTTTATCCGTCAATTCTGAACTCACGTTCCTCTGGGTCGATTCTCCTGTTCTTGTACAACAGTTTTACAACTCCTACTATATCGTGTCAGTATAGTGTACATGACATTCAAGTCGGAATTTGTTCTCGGTAACGTCTCTGCTCTTGGTAATAACTCCGGATCCCGTCAATTCTCAACAGCTGCAGCATTTGCTAAATACACTGTGTTTTGCAGAGTGTGAATAGAAATGTAATTGTTTACACGGCGCTCGCCTCTTCCTGGGTGGGAGGTAGAGCTGGTGCCTCCTCCTGGGTGGGAGGTAGAGCTGGTGGAGGGTGTACCGCTACTAGTACCCGTCCCTGTTCAACCTCGACTCCTCCCTCCTCTGCTTCAAGTCCTGCATGAGCTTCCTGTGCTGTTCCCTCTGTAATATCATGCGATCTGGGTGAATGAATACATTCCGAAATGTCTCGCTCCTTGCTAAGTTTTTTGCCTGCCGAATAATTTCCCAATTCTTCTCTTCACTCACTAGTGTGATCCTGAGGGGGCGAGGCTTATCCCCCTGCTTTTGTCCCAGCCTCCTCACATCCTGAGGATGGTATGACGTATTCAGAACCTCTGTACAAATACTCTCAATCTGCAACGCGTCGTGAGAGTTGTGAACTCTTGGAACAATCTACCTGAAAGTGCTGTGACGACACCGAGTGTGAGCTCTTTCAAGACCAGACTTGACCAACACCGGAGCGGGTTCAAGTACAATCAGGAGCCGGTGCATGCCCAGTACTTGCCAACAGTGCTCACACTCGGTGCCGTCACAACACTTTCTGGTAGATTGTTCCAAGAGTTCACAACTCTCACTCCGAAAAAGTTTGCCCTCACAGTTTTCTGGACTTGCGACTTCTTCAATCTTGAGCTGTGACCCCATGTGGGGCGAGCGTCCGCCAGCTCCAAGTAAGGACACTCGACTGAGTAGTGCCCCTTGAGATGCTTATACACCTCAACTAGGTCGCCCCTTGCCCGTCTGTAGTATAAGCTAGGTAAGTTCAGGCGCTCCAATCTCTCAGGGTAGCTGAGGTGCCGAAGTGCAGGCGCCATTCTGGTGGCCCTCCTTTGAACATGTTCAACCAACTGACAGTCCCTCGCATATCTCGGGGACCAGACGGAGTGACTACTCCAGATGGGGAAGCACTTCACTCTTGAAGATCGTTACGAGGGACGGACCGTCTAGATATCTGAACGACCTTCTTATAAGACCCAATAATTTATTTGGCTGATTTACCTTCTTCTCGCAATGACCCGAGAATTTCAGCTCATTGTCAACATACACACCTAGGTCCTTCTCACATTCAGTCTCAAATAGTGCAGTCTCTTCATCCCGTTGGGACATATGAAACGCCTCCTTACCGTTGGTACGCCCCAGGTGCATCCTCCTGTTTTTCCCTTTTTTCGGTTCTCCTCGACGAGTTGTTGTTATCTATGTACTGTACTATCATTATGTACACTGTATCTTGCCATGAATAACGGATCATATGCCCACTCGGTCCTTAACACACACACACACACACACACACAAAGAAACTTTCTTTGGGGCGGCAATAAAATGCTGTTCAAGATAGCCCGGCTTGTTGTTTTTTTTAACTATTATTAAATTGCATTTTCATTTCCAGTTCTCATCAACTAATATATCTCTTTGTGCTATCACTGTGTACACTGTATCTCCCTATGAATGGTGGATTGTAGGCACAATTTCAGTCATTGAGAAAGAGCACTTACACACGAGAAAAGAAAGGAAAATTCTTTGTGGCACCTGTAATACGACTTGGTTACTGCTGGCAGAGGTGCCTTAAATGCTTGCTCCAATAGTGAAGGTAGACAGAGTGTCATAACTAATACATATAATATTATCTTGTATACTGAAGGTAGACAGGTAGACAGAGTGTCATAACTAATACATATAATATTATCTTGTATACTGAAGGTAGACAGTGTTTCAAAAAGCGCGTAATAGGACAAAAAATTCCTGAGTAATGAATTCAACCGATAGTAAGTAAATATCGGAATTATAGATAAATGTAATATTTTTTGATAATAATTGGGTAATGTTTTTACATATAGAGCGTAATAATAGATAAAAATAAATATTTGGATGGACAGTGAATGTGGTTGGCATCAGGTGACGTCACATCAGCTGTTGGTGTAAACAAAGTTATCAGTGTCTCTCTCATGTCTCCACTCTTTACTGTTTTATTATGAGATAATCTCCACCAGTACAGTATGCATGATGCTTATGAGGCCATTCCCATCCTGGAGAAACTTCCACTACAGATTGAAGCTGTTACGGCTTATGGTGAGTGAGTTACTGTCAATGGTGAGTGTGTTGTAAGAGTTACGGTCAATGGTGAGTGAGTTACGGTCAATGGTGAGTGTGTTGTAAGAGTTACGGTCAATGGTGAGTGAGTTACTGTCAATGGTGAGTGTGTTGTAAGAGTTACGGTCAATGGTGAGTGAGTTACGGTCAATGGTGAGTGTGTTGTAAGAGTTACGGTCAATGGTGAGTGTGTTGTAAGAGTTACTGTCAATGGTGAGTGTGTTGTAAGAGTTACGGTCAATGGTGAGTGAGTTACGGTCAATGGTGAGTGTGTTGTAAGAGTTACGGTCAATGGTGAGTGTTGTAAAGTTACGGTCAATGGTGAGTGTGTTGTAAGAGTTATGGTCAATGGTGAGTGTGTTGTAAGAGTTACGGTCAATGGTGAGTGTGTTACGGTCAATGGTGAGTTACGGTCAATGGTGAGTGTGTTGTAAGAGTTACGGTCAATGGTGAGTGTGTTGTAAGAGTTACGGTCAATGGTGAGTGTGTTGTAAGAGTTACGGTCAATGGTGAGTGTGTTGTAAGAGTGTCAATGGTGAAGAGTTACGGTCAATGGTGAGTGAGTTACGGTCAATGGTGAGTGTGTTGTAAGAGTTACGGTCAATGGTGAGTGTGTTGTAAGAGTTACGGTCAATGGTGAGTGTGTTGTAAGAGTTACGGCCAATGGTGAGTGTGTTGTAAGAGTTACGGCCAATAATGAGTGTGTTCTAAGAGTTACGGCCAATAATGAGTGTGTTGCAACAGTTAATTTAAACATGTTAGTAACCAAAATTATGAAAAAAATAAAAAGCATGATTAAAAACTGACATTTAATAGATAGTTTACCTGCACAAGTGACCTAACATATAACCCATTTTTGTGAACATTAACGACCTATGTTCAACTAGTTGTATTGAAGACAATTGCTGTTCTTCCTGACTTTGACAAAACTGTAAATTATTTGGCAATTTTGTATTTTCAATTGTCTATTGTTTTTCTTCATGAACACAATGTACTGTCACTCAGAAATCTATCTATACAAAATTGTGTTGAGAAATTATGACAACAGATGAAGGATTTTGACAACCCTACTGAGACAACAGGAGTCACAGTGTTCATACTGACATTCATCGACCCCCCCCCTCAACCCAAGTAAAGATAGTTTTATGAGTGACTGTACATATAACTGCCAGATGTGTTGTTATTTGTTTACAAACATTCACGGTGATGTTTACAATGACGGCTATGTTATATTATTAATCTGAGATACAGCTTTTTGTTCAGATGGTAACTTAGTGGTGGGGACGAGACAAGGCCACCTGCTCATGTACACGGTGACTCCCGGCACCACGCGACGCTGGGACGTGGCTCTTCTCTGCTCCAACAAGAACTTCTCACGCAAGCCAATAGTTCAGGTGGCTGTTATCCCTGAACACCAAATCATTGTGTCATTATCAGGTACTGTACGGTTAATTATCTGATGTGATGTGGATGTTCATGGGTTGTCTCAACACTGTATGCAGTCTGCTTCAAAAAATTTCACAGAGATTGTGTGAAGGCTTATATTATAACAGCAATGTTGTCCTCACTTGTGGGAAACCTCACACATCAACAATGATGCTGTTGTGATACAGCACTGTACTGTATAAGCCTTCATGGAATCTCCTTGAAAATCTGTAGAGTGTACTGTATACATTTTTCTGAGACACCCTGAAGTTATTTAGTCAAGCATCGTCATCATTTTTATTTTCTGACCATTTTCCACTCTTGAACAGTATACTAATTCACACATATTGCACAGATTAATCCTTCACAAATACAGTACTGTGTAAGTTTTATAAATTGGGTAAATTTAACTAATAATTTTAACTAATCACATCTGCTATAGTTCTTTATTCAGCTTTTAAAAGCCCTTAATCTTAGCCTTCAAAGTCAACCCTCAAAGTCAGCCCTTCTTTTTAGCCCTTAAATTTGGGTCTTGAAGAAAGTGACAAAGGTTAGGTTAAAAAAAAAATAGATAATAAAGAATTATTCATTGTTACCTCTACAGGAAAACCTTCATTATCAGCACAGGTTTAATCTGTTAATGTTTCTTTACTTTATTATGTATGTTTCAGATAATGTTGTAAGTGTACATGATCTGACAGCCTTCAATTTGCCTCTACTCTGTACATTATCCCAGACTAAAGGTGCTACTGCCTTTGATCTTGATATTAAGGTGAGTTAACGGTCAGGTGTGCTGTACGTTTGTTGAGCCACAGGAAGTAAAGTATAATGGCGTGTCTTGTCTTTATGTGTTGTTTTATTATACAGTATTTGAGGAACTACAGTAGTGACTTTTAACACAGAGTACAGCCAAGTCTTCATGGATTACTGTAAACCTTAATAATTTTGGATTTGATTATTTCACAATTTAATTTTTTTTTAAACACTGGGCTTTCTAGACAAATATTTGCAATTTCAGAACAAAGTCCAGAATCTCAATTGTGTGATATATGAGATTTTGTTGGTTCATGTGATTACTTGTGGGGTTCACAGTACCGTATGTGTTGGAGGTCACTGTTTGTCTCCGTTCAAGTGGTGACCTGACCCCACCTACTGTACACACCAAAAATGTTTGTTCCTTCAACACTTTATTTATGTGTCATATATTCTTAGCAGCCACAGGTTTTACTGTTAACTTTCTCTAGTTTGTGCTGTTAAATCTTTTTTTTTTTTTAAGATTTTGTTAGATTTAAGGTTTCTTGGAATAGCTTCTAGTGGTGGCTGTAAGAGGAAGTCTCTCAGAATAAGTGAAGCCAAGAGATACAACTGATCAAGGGATGTATCATCATCCCTGCCTGCCTGCCTGCCTCAACACACCCATTACTTTATTGTCTCATATCATAAAGACATTTCCCTCTACTCAGATAGTTTATTACTCAACATAAGTGGTCAGTAATTAGTAACACATGAAGGAAAACAAAAATATTCACCAGACTTCTTAAAAGATAAAAAATAATTATATAGCTGATGTTTTGTCTGTGCAGCATCACGTGTCGTTGACGGGGGATGGCGTGGTCACTGTGCGTCTGGTGGTGGCCGTCAGACGCAAGCTTCAGCTCTTCTACTGGAAAGCCAGAAAATTTCATCAGCTTCGCGAAGATCTGGCCTTACCGGATGTGCCCCGAGCTTTAACCTGGTGCATGGAAGCTATTGCTGTAGCCTTTAAACATGAGTATTGGCTGGTCAAGGTAAACATCTGTCGCTCCATTTCTCCTCTATGGTTCCAAATACACAAAATGAAAGTCCTTTTACTGTTTTCTTTACTTATACAGCAATCACTGGGAGCTTTTTCACACACTTGCAGGTCAGGTCAGGTCAGGGCATTGTGAGAATAGACCAATAGAAATAGGAAGGATCATTTCAACTGTGATGTCACGATAAAGCGTCAGGTCAAGCACATACACACACACAGCTCCCTTCCTGTCACCTCGCTGCATGATGGACCTCACTGATTAAACATGTACAGGAAGGTGGCATCACACAGCAACTAACTAATTCCTGTCCAGGTATTTTTGTCTCATAATAACCTACATATTCACTGGAAAAGTGCTGGACTAACAGGTTTGAAATATTACTTGTCCGGCCCCTAGTCCAGGCTCCTCTCATCTGGGGTAATAGTTGGGGGATTCTTTAGTGTAGAGTTTTAAATTATTAGATATTAATTAGTTTGATGATTTCAGCTGACAGGTGAACAGAAGGAACTGTTTGCCACCGGTCGCAGCCAAGAGCCCCTCATAACTAGAATGGTGGACGGGGAGCAGTTAGCTTTGGCTCATGACAAGGAATCTATCTTTGTTGATGCTGATGGGAATGCCACTTGCAGTTATACACTTAAGTGGGTAGAACAACCACTTTCTCTAGGTAAGTTATTTAATTTTTCTTGCATTTTATCATTAAAAACATTTAAGTGAGTCACAACGTATTATTTCATAATTTTTGTTCTTCGTGGCTACATTTTCTATCAGTTATCAGCGTAGACTAACACACTGTACAATACTTTTCCCCTATTTAATGTATTTTTTCTCTAAATTAAATACATTACCACACTAAAGTATACTGTAGTTATAATAAAAGAATGCATAAAAACTAACAATTATATAATAAATTGTAGAAAAAATATGACAGTAATGTTGGTGTTCTCAATCCTACGCTTAATTACCACTGAGTCAGTAGTTATTACAGGGCAGTGTTTTTCAGGAACGTAACTGCCGTTATTTTTCCTTTTAACTTTTCCTAGATTTATTTTTTTAGGGTGTGAAATTATGGTACTGTACAATGTTTTACCAGTGACTCCCCAAAAAAATTCATGTACGGTAGGATAATTTTTTTTTAGTACAAATTACGGAAAAACTTTGGTACAGTACCTCACTGCTCCCTGGCCGGAGGTTTACTGATGTTCTACCTATTCATTTGAGGTTCTTTTGTATGGAATATATTCTGATTGTGTCTCCTGATAGTGCAAAGCAAAACATACATCTCCATTAGCCGTAACAACTGGTGCAGAGTACTTCTGGGTATGAGAGCCTTCTGGGTGACCAAACGACTCTCTCAAAGCCGGAAAAAAATCCCATCCCAAGATTTTTCTGGGTAACGGGAAAATTTTCCTGGAAGTTCCATAAACTATGCATTACATCAGCTCTTGAACCTGGAAAGAAATCCCCCATCCCCGTAATTTTTCCGGGTACCGGAATTATCCAGTATGATGCATTATTTCATTGCTCAAAGTCGGAAAAAATCCCCCATCCCAGGAATTTTCATCTCTCAAACCCGGATTAAGAATTCCTCGTCCCTGGAATTTTCCGGGTCCTGGGAAATTTTTTCAGAATATTCCAGAAAATGTGCTCCTCGGAAAATCGTTCCCAAAGTCAGAATTTTCCGGAAAATTCCAGCTTTGGGAACGATTTTCTGAGATAATTTCAATTCCGGTTATCGGAGAGTTCCTGTTAAGAGGGATTCTGGCAATCAGAGATATTACTTATTTATTATTGCATTCCAACATCAATGCAGTATGGTAATTTTGCTAAAATATAATTAATATTAAAATGCATTTAATTGTTATGTGAAACTTTATTTTAATTATATTCATTTTTTTCAGCATATGACAAACCATACTTGATAGCCATCTTGCCTAAGAATATAGAAATAAAGACGACAGAACCTCAAATTACTGTACAGGTCCTCAACTTAGACAAACCCAAGCTCCTGGCTGTGGGGCAGTCAACCAAGTAAGGCACCCTAACCTAACCTAACCAAGTTAGACACTCTAACCTAACCTAATCTAACCAAACCTCACTTAATCTAGCCAAGTAAGGCACTCACTTATCACTAGACTCAGAACATATTACAACAATCTCTGTTATTGTCAGAAAATCAAACCAACTGACAACATACAGTACACATTTATGCTCTGGTGTTGTGGTATTAAGTCATCATATATTGTTGTTGTTATTGTAGGCCGAGCTGCTTCAGGTGTGGATGAGTATGGCAAATTTACCTGTTTTGATGCCAAGAGGTCTTAGCAATGCCATCATATGTGTGTGTGTGTGTTAAAACACTTATGTAAATTAAATCTTAAGTAAGATTACCTTTATATATAAAGTCAGATTGCCTTTATATATATTAAATCCTAATGTCAGATTGTGTTATTCAACCTCAATGTCAGATTACCGTACTTTACAGAGGGAAGAGTCAGGTGTACATAGCGTCGTCATCACATGTCTGGTGTTTACACTCCATCCCCATCAACCAACAGATTCCGCAACTCCTCGGAGAAAAACAATTCGGGTTGGCGCTGAAACTTGTGGTACGTCATCAATTATGACAAAACATAAAGGAATATTTAGTGATACAGTTTGTTCTTTGTAATGTGGACTAAGGACACAGATTTGATATAATTGGGTAGGAAATAAGGTTAGTACAGGACAGTCTTGTATGTGCATAGTTGTATCTGGAGAGTATCTGTAATACTGTACCAGATAAATCATAATGCTGAAATCCAACTGTTGCGTGTGTGTCTTATCTTCTAGTCTCAATGGGGTTTTAGTGACACGTGAAACTTAAGCGCAGTAATTAATATATTGTGGATACTAATATATTTATCATTTCACCTCTTATCAGTTTTATCAGCTATTTAGGCAGTTGGTCTGTTCTCTGTAAGGAACTTTATTGTCTAGTATTAGTACAGGAGGAAACTGTAGTACCCGGAGAAAACTTGCCAAGTTTGGTAGTGTCACACTGTTTAATACCCTTCTCACATCTGTCTGGGGCTGGGAATTGAACCCAGGACACATTGGTGAGAGATACTCGTGGCAGCGCTTTACAGTACCACCACCTCCGCATGTTCCTGATAACTGGCTAATGTTATTATGACATAATGTCTCATAAGCTGTTTTCTCCGGCACAGGATGTCTGGGATGAAGATGAGGATGCCAAGACTCAGATGCAGAAACACATCCAGCACCTACAAGCTATTCATCTCTTCTGTAGTAAAAGTTACCCAGATGCCATGAAACTCTTCTTCACTCTCAACACAGGTCTGGTGAAGCTTTAGTGATTTTTGCTGAAGTTTGAACATTTTCTTAACCCTTAAATGGCTACCATCATTTGTGGAATTAGCTGTAGGGATGGTGACTGTCACTGTCATCTATTTTGTAGGATTATACTTTATGTTTCACTCTACATAATTCTATACAGTATGTGTACGTAACCCCTTGTGTATGGGGCTCCTCTCTGCTGAAGAAAATCAACTGGGATTAGTAAAGTAAAATTCTAAAAGTGGTGACCTATAGTGAAGAGGTTGAAGACAACATCCTGTAGTGAACAGATCTAGTGACACATAATGACTACTGAGAGAAAGTACACACTAAGTAATGTTTTTTTGTGTTAAGATAACTTTTATATATGAGAAGATTGGATTATGTCATTGATTATGTTGGAGAGATAATGTATTGGGCTGGTGTGGACTTAAAGATACTGCACACAACAAGGGAGTCTCCTTTAAAGAGTACAACATGTTGATAATACACTAGCTCTTCAGTCTTCATTTATAGTGGTGTGGTCACAAAGCTTCATTATGATGGTGTTCTCACAAAACTTCATCATGATGGTGTGATCACAAAGCTTCATTATGATGGAGTTGTCACAAAGCTTCATTATTATGGTATGGTCACAAAGCTTCAGTATCGAATTGTAGTGAGCTTTTTCACTTAATTCACCTCTCATTTATAAGGTGGCATGTCAGGAACAGTCCCCCCATCTTAACTCCTTTGTTTGAACTACAGTAATACCCCGATTTACGAGGTTTCGCTTTACGCGATTCTACATTTACGCGGTACCTCGCCAGAAACGGAATTTCATTTTATGCGGTGCATCTACTCATATACGCGGGTGAAGTATAATTTTTTTATTTAGCTCATAAAATTCATACAAATTATCCGGCCAGAATATAATTTACATTGCTGGAATTCTTACAATATGATGATCATTTTGAATATAAACATCATGGATTTTGCATTAGACATACAAATTTTAGATCTAATATAATAATTTGGTTTACACAAAGCAAATATTTTATCTTTTGTGCAAAATATATGAAGTTTACATTCAGAATATTCCCTGACCTGTAAGGAATCCAGAAATGTCAATTATATTATCCTAACTTTAGGCTGAGGTATTATTTATTACTAAAAATGTAAATATACTGTTTTCTCCCAAACATTTCTCTGATATGGAGGGAAGGTGGGGGGTAGGGAGGGAGGGAGAGACCCAGCGATCGTGGGAAGAGGGGGAGACAGAGGTGGGGTATTTTGATTGACAGATAGTGTCTGGGTGACGTATATTTTTTTTTATCTAGTGAAGATATTTGTTTTTGCTCATAAAATTCATACAAATTACCCAGCCGGAATATAATTTACATTGCTGGAATTCTTGCAATATGATGATCATTTTGAATATGAACATCATGGATTTTGCATTAGACATACAAATTTTAGGTCTAATGTAATGATATGGTTTACACAAAGCAAATATTTTATCTTTTGTGCAAAATATATAAAGTTTACATTCAAAATATTCCCTGACCTGCAAGGAATCCAGAAATGTCAATTATATTATCCTAACTTTAGTCTGAGGTATTATTTATTACTATACCTTAAAATCTAGTGTTTTCACCCAAACATTTCTCAGAGAGGGAGGAGCCAGCGAGCTTGGGAAGGGAGAGGGGGGGGGGGAGTTGAGTCCATTATTTGAATGGACATTAACCTGGCGACTGTATTTCTCTTAAATATTAATTGTGTATGCATACCATCATAAAATTAAGATGTTATTTTTACTACAACACAGGTATTGTGTCGGAAAAAGTGGAGTTTGGGGGTTGGGCCAGTCTCTATTGGAATTAATCCCATATGTTCTGTTGTTCACTTTACGCAGTTTTCACTTTCCGCGGTACCCCATGGGTTCAACTGACCGCGTAAATCGGGGTACTACTGTATTTAAGTATCTTATATTATTGCAAATGTGTATAGTATTGTATAGTATAATTGAGGAGCACAGTAGGGCAAGCACCGGTATGCCAGAAAACAATACGTACGATGTCATTCACAAGTATCAATTAAATCTGCTACAGTCTGCCACTTAATCACTTCAATAGCTTCACTGGTTCCAATGTTATGGCAATTTAAATGTTTGCTAACATTAACTGCATTTTTCTCTTTTTCATTTCCGCTGCTTGTCTACCTTTGGTTCTGTGTGCCTTAATTATAAGCACAAGATGGTGTCCTCTGTGGTACTACACATACACCACAACACAAATTATCACATCCACAGATCTTCCATTTGTTATTGGCATGTATCCGGACATGGTTCCCGAGGAGTACCGTAGCCGACTCCGTTACCCGTACCCCATCCCGGCACTCAGTGGAGCGGACTTAGAGCAAGCACTCCAGGCTCTAATTCACTTCCTGTTAGAGGTCAGTACAGTACTTAGTGTTAAGATAAACTTTAAAATGAGGGAATGTTTTGGTGAGTGGGTTAAGGCTTGTATAACATTTAATGGATTATTTTACCACTTATCAGCTTACTGTACTAGCTATTCTGGTGTTCTTTGTTACAACCTTCATTATTCTGTGTTAGTACAGGAAGAAACTGTTGTACCTGGAGAAAACCTGCCAAGTTTAGTAGTGTAACACTGGATAACACCCTTCTCACAACTGTCCTGGGTTAGGGATTGAACCCAGGACATATGTTGAGAGGCAGGCATGCCCACCACCGATCAGAGTGTTGTCTGGGTGGTACAGCACATGAGAAGTGTAAAGATATTGTACTGTATGTATCTTACTGTAGCAATGTTTAAAACACACTCAACTGAACTTTCCATTTTGGGATTTATTGTGTTCATTCATCAAGTTTTATTTTTATTTACTTTATTTTTTGTTTATGATTTGACATAAGAAAGATCCCGTACAAAACAATATATTATGAGAATAGACAAGTAGGTCGTAAGCAGCTATCAAACAGGGAGGTACTACCGCCTGGGAAGATATTGGAAGCATAATGTGTTGTCTAATGGTAGACCCTGCTGCCATATGGCATCACGAAAATTGTGACCAAGTCCCAGGTTGCTGATCTGACTTTTGCCTCATTTACACACAATTGCAGGGTCTCAATTGTTTCTCTTACTATTGATAACACAACATACATACTGTATATTGTTTCTCACTTTTGATTTTTTTTTCTTAATTTTTTGCATTTCTTTATGGTTCTTTATTATCATCATCATCATCATCATCATCATCATCATCATCATCATCATCATCATCATCATCATCATCATCATCATCATCATCATCATCATCATCATCATCATCATCATCATTATTATTATTATTATTATTATTACATTTTCGCCCCCCAGGCCCTGATGTGGGTCAGTGACCTGTGCCCGGGTGGGCTAATTCCCGTAAAAAAAAAAAAAGATTAAAATTATGTTTTATTGAAATTTTAGTGACAGAAGTTTTGAAGATGTTAGTAACATTAGTTATAATGTTATAGATGCGTCATCAGCTGTGTAGCAGTGATAGTGAAGCTCGCACTGAAGATGTCGGTGACAACAAGTTCTCCTCTTCGGCAGCTGTGGCGGCAAGTTTAAAGTCTCGCAATGAGAAACTCCAGATCATTGACACAACATTGTTGAAGTGTTATGTGCAGGTGAGGAAAACATGTGTAAATATAGCTCCATTGTTGACCATTTTTGGATACAGAGCATTAGAGTGTTGTCTTAGTCCACACGACACTACCAACCTCAATAGGTGTCCATGATAACTGTTCTGTCATTAACATCACTGAGAGGGTAGGGTTGTGCTCATTAACATTATAGAGGAGAAGTTTTAGTCAAGTTTATAGTGGAATATTTATGCTCTTATGTACAGTATATCTTCTATTTATTCATTTTCTTCTCTTCTCCACAGACCAATGACAGCCTTGTTCAGCCTCTGCTTCGGATGCGTGATAGCCGTGTGAGTGTAGTGGAAGGGGAGCGCGTTTTACGCCACTCCCACAAGTACCCGGAGCTCGTCCTGCTGCTACAGACTCGTGGTCTTCATCAACGAGCTCTTCAACTGTTGATCAGGCATGCTAAGAGACCTGACTCACCCCTGTGTGGCCACCAACACACTGTCAACTATTTACAGCATCTTGGTACAGTATAACCAAATTGTGTTCACATATTCATATAGTTTTTTATACAGTACTATATACAGGTTGACAACCCTTTATCCGAAATTCCAAAAACCGAAAAGCTCTGAAAACCGAAAAAAAAATTGTGGAGCAATTTTTTTTTTCAGCCCACCGGACGAGTCACTAACACACATCGGGGCCTGGGGGGTGAAAATGTAATAGTAATAATAATTATAATAATAATAATAATAATGATAATACAGTAATACGGTAATAATAATTATTCATAGTAAATAAGATTTTTAATAAAAAATACACAAAAATGAAATAAGAATGATAACAATAATAATAATAACAATAATACTGTAATAATAAAATAATAATAATAATAATAATAATAAAGAAATACAAGAATGAAAAAAAGATCAAAAGTGAGAAACACGACCTAGACCTATGAATTATTATTAATATAATTATTATTATTATAATTATTATTATTATTATTATTATTATTATTATATTTTAGCCCCCAGGCCCCAATGTGGGTCAGTGACCTGTGCCCGGGTGGGCTGATCCCTATAAAAAAAAAAAAACTAACCATTCTGAAAACCAAAAAATTCCAAAAACTGAAATGCATCTGGTCCCAAGGAATATTCGTAGTAGGATCCGTTCGTTTTAGCATACCCCGTTTTAGCCGATTGTCCGAATTAACCGATTTAGGGGTTAATATTGCATTATATCTCGAAGTCATTGTTTTCGTCACGATTTTATCCCACTTTCCACTGTAATACGTACGTAATTTCAGCAAAAATATGACATTTCCGTGAATGTATTATATCAAGCACAGTATGAATAGAATATCATTGTAATATAACAGTATTTTAACCGAAAACTATTAAAAAAACGAATAACATCTCAAGAACATCGGAAGCTTAGGTAAAGTCTTTTGTTTTCATCATGTATTATTTCCTATTTTACATTGAAATACATCATGTTTCAGCAGAACTACTATTTATTTCCAAGAATATATTCATTCAGGCGCAGTTTAGGTAAAATATACGTGTGATGTAACAGTTTTTTAACTGAAAACGATTCGAAAAACACGTGTACCCTCTAGCCCTGTTCAAGGAGAGGACTGGGAGAAGCTGTTTGGTGCTGCAGACGATGACAAGGAAAATGATTTGGATGGATTTTAATAAAAATATTCAGAAATATGGTACAGTACTCCCTCTTTATCGACGGATTTTTTATCGACGGATTATTTAGACGGATTTTTATTTTGGCTTTATTTGAACTCTGCGGGCCTTGTTTGTACTTTCGCCGCTAGGCGGCACTAGTGGCGTGACTAGCGTCTACCCGCGGCCCACCTTCCCTGAACACAGACATCAGGCTTTTAATAAGCCTCAATCATCACACTTGTATATACTGTATATACTGTATTGTTTACTGTAAGGACCGATGTTCACTTCAATAAATGAAATCGTAAGTTTGCTAGTATTTTTGTCCACTTATTATATTATTATTTATACACTATTATTTAAGGTTATGTGTAAAGGAAACGCATTAATGCTTAAAGGTACATTTATTCAACATATGCTAATAATAGTTAGAAAAATTACGTAACCATCACGGTATCGACGGTTTCTTTATCGACGGCCGTCTACAGAACGTAACCCCCGTCGATAAAGAGGGAGTACTGTATTGCAATATTTATTCAAGTCAATTAGGATAGAATATTATTGTAATACAACAGTTTTTTAACTGAAAACCAATCGAAAAGCGATTACGGGAACATCTTTTGAACGAAAGAATGCGAAAGTCATTGTTTCGTCACGATTTTATCCCACTTTCCACTGTAATACGTACGTCATTTCCGCAAAAATATTACATTTCCGTGAATGTATTATATCAAGCACAGTATGAATAGAATACCATTGTAATATAACAGTATTTTAACCAAAAACTATTAAAAAAACGAGTAACTTCTCTTGAACATCGGAAGGTTAGGTAAAATCTTTTGTTTTCGTCATGTATTTTATCCTATTTTACATTAAAATACATCACGTTTCAGCAAAACTACTATTTATTTCCGAGAATATATTCATTCAGGCGCAGTTTAGGTAAAATATATGTGTGATGTAACAGTTTTTTAACTGAAAACGATTCGAAAAACACGTGTACCATCTAGCTGATGCTCAACAGCTGGTGGTGCGTCATGCGTCGTTGTAAACAATAGGAGGTTGAAGTAGATTACCGGGTATTATATTAAGTGTGAAATATCGAAAAGGTTTTTATTACCGGTATTTTTTGTAGATCAATGAGAACTGTGATACCGTATATGATATGATAAGTTAGCCTGTGCTAAGAACTTCAACATAGACTACTGAAAACACAGGTAATTTTGCCTATTGCAAGTTGGTGAGCTTCATTTGCTGAAGGAACTGCACAACTTTTCATTACTAATTGGTACATATTTTATGTTTCCATTGTTTACTGGCAGTAAATGGTAAATATTTTTCATGTCTGAAGCTAAAAGTTGCATCCCCCCCCCCCCACACTAGTGGTGATGTTACATTTAACCAAAAAGATGCTGGTGTTTTATCTCAGCAGTGGGTAGATAATATTCCTACAAATCTTTAAAAAAAAAAGAAAAAAAAAAAGAGGTTCAGATTTTGTCCGAATTATTCTAAATCTGGATTACAGTGGTCCCTCGGTTAACGAGCACAATCCGTTCTAGAAGGTTGCTCGTTAACCGAAACCATTGTTTCAATGGGTTTTGGGTAATTGGTTCCAGCTCACCGAAAATTGCCTAAATTCAACTAAAAAGGTAGAAAAGTACACTTACTTTGAGGTGTGTATGTAGAAGGCTCCTGGATGATGATGATGATGGGAATTAGAATGGGGGTGGAGGAGAAGGGAGAAGAGAAGGCATTGGGGTGCAAGAGAAGTCACCCCATGCTGCCATTTCACCCATAAAATTTTAGTTCTCTTGGTGTAATTCAAGATTATTTTCTTTAAATCAACACTGTACTGCATTATATATTGTCAATATGTAAAATAAATTTCAAAATGACCAAAAATTTGCTTGCAGCAAGGTCTACCATTACACAACACATTATGCTTCCAATATCTTCCCAAGCGGTAGTACCTCCCTGTTTGATAGCTACCTACTACCTACTAATTATTATGAATGTGTTTAATTATTACATTAGTGAGTAGAGAAAGCTGTGTCAATTCTGTTTATAGTAATGTACAGTAATATATGTACACTTGGCCACTCTAATCCAAGGTAATAAATAAGCCGTGTTACTTTATGGTAATGTACTGTACTGTACAATCTGGGACACGATCTTCACTCGGAAAATCCAACAGCTTTCAAAATACAAATGTGTGACCATTTGACATCATTAACTGGATTCATAATTACAAACTCCTCACTCCAGACCCCAGCCTCTGTGACTCATCAACTGTTAAGAATAAAGTTAGTATTGCATTATGCTGACTCCCTAGTACAGTGCCCAGGCTGGGCCCAGCCACACAGTTATTGTTGTACAGGTAGTAATTACTCGTAACCTCTGCTGCAGTAATTCAATAAACCGTCAATATTTTTAACTTTTTTGTTTTAAAATTTGACTTATTTTGGATAGCTGTCGATCACCTACTGTTTTTATAACTTTTACAAAATAGGCCAAATCTATATTGTGTGGTGTAACCTTATACTAGTGTATTGTGTGGTGTAACCATATAGTGATGCACTTGTCATGTGAGAAGAGCAGGGTGATGCCAGCCTCACCCTCAGAGTGTCACAAGTGCACACATGTATCATATATATTTTTATGAGGTTTTTTATGTTTTATTATTATTTGTTTTGTGTTTCAGGACCTCAACACATAGATCTAATATTTGAGTATGGGGGCTGGGTGTTAAAGTCACACCCTGAAGATGGGTTGAAAATATTTATTGGGGACAAGTCAACGTCAGGCGAAGTGGATCAGCTGCCACGACCCAAAGTTCTCAATTTTCTCAAGAAAACAGAGAAAACTCTTGTAATCCCATATTTGGTAGGTGATCAATATTATTTATTTTATCTTTTCACCACTTGTCACCTTATTAGTCATTTGGTCAGTTAGTCTGTTCTTTGTTACATTATTATGAGCTTTACTGCCTGGTGTTAGTACAGTACAGGAGGAAACTATAGTACCCAGAGAAAACCTGCCATGTTCGGTAATGTCACACTGGATAACACCCTTCTCACATCAGTTCTGGGCTGGGGATTGAAACCAGGACACAAGTGTGAGAGATACATTTGTCACCTGTGCAGTACCTACCAACACTTTAATACACAATATCTTGATCTGTCTTAATTCTTGTCTGGGTTGATGGATAACCTTGTGTTTCCCCAGCCAGCCAGCCAGCCAGGACTGCTCCCAGACATCATGCAACTCTTGCTCCTCGTCCACTTAAGACTTTTTTTTTCTCTTTCCACTTATCACTTACTAACCATTTGGGTGGTTGGGCTATCCATTATTAGTGATAACTCTTAATATTGTACTGCATCCCCCATACTGTACTCGTCTTTCTGCATTGCTTTAAGATACTGTATGATAGACAACATATTTCCATGGATGCTGATTTATTTGTACACCTTTCTCTCTTCTTTTTTCCAATACAATTTCTGGTAGTTTTATGATGTTGGGACATAATATTGGGAAGTTTGTTCAGTGTTGGGTCATGAAGTCATAATAAAAACACAAACTGAGAAACACAAAATTTGAGAGTTTAATTTTATTAAGAATTTACCAGGAGGTTGTGATTAATATTTGAATACTGTACCTGTATACTGTACAATAAATTGTCTGTTATGATATACATTTACAGGTATCCCTTGCTGTATGAATGTTCACTCCATTAATACAGTACAAATATTCTATTCTTACACCTCTTTCTCACTATATGGAAGCTATTTTTGCTCATACCAATATTTTCCCATAAGGTTTTATACAAAATTTGTATTTTTTATTTTTTTATGTGTTGGCTACTAAATTATAGCATACTGTACTGTAATCAGGAATTTTTTTCTTATTTGTGAACATAATTCATTTTTTGAGGAACAGTATGATATATATATTTTGTTCATTGGGGTAAACTAACCCATTCATATACTGTACCAATGGATACTGCTAACTGTACATAGTTTCTTATATTAATAGGAACATGTACTACAAGAGTGGGGGGACACGACACCTTTACTACACAACGAACTCATTCACCAGTACCGTGATATAGTGGTGGCACCTTTTACTTCTAGTGACCCAGCAAATGTGGAGGAGGTAAGCTCTTCATATTAAACTTATTTCAAGGTACAGTAATTGGTCATCAATGTCACTTGTTTTTTATTAGTCTTACTTAGAAGGGATGGCTCCTTCTCCATCTCAAAGGTGCTCAGCGAGAGAAGTTCAGTGCATGGTGGTGGACTTTCTAAATTGTTAATTGCAAAAGAGGTACGTACTTAACCACTTGTGATTTTTAAATAAATGTGGGATTTTATATTATATTAATTTTAGTAGTACAGGTTGTACCTCTCTAGTCCGGCATTCTGTGGTCCGGAAACTCCTGTGGTCCGGAACGATTTAAGTTTGTCCAATAGGTAGATAGGCAGCTTCTTTTTTTTTTTTTACTTATCTGAATTATTATTATTATTACAGGAGTATTAAATTTTTGCCCCTCAGGCCCCAATGTGGGTCAGTGACCTATGCCCGGGTGGGCTAATCCCCGTAAAAAAAAACAACAAAGCCGCGGGAAATTAAGGTTTGTTTACATCCGGCAGTTCGGCTGCTCTCTCTCTCTCTGCTTGTCTATACAGAGTACAACATTTAACCCTTCAATATATATGAGCAGTAAATAAATGTTGCTTTCATATTCTTATGTAGAGTAATGACGATATGTTTTCACATGTGCGCACTTACATACGAGCAGTCTCACTTTTTTTTTACCATTAATGGTTAGCTACTTATATTGTTCCATTTATTAATATTAAATAACATTACAGGTACTTCAAACAACCATATTAATTTTTTTACATTAATTTTACTACAGCTAAAATCAGGGTCTTATTTTCTTCAGTTTTATATGTAGAACCAATCAGTCACTGGTTTCGTAAGCTTTAGCATAAACAATGCCGGCAGCCGTCTCGTCTCCTCTAATATTCCACGTATTATTAATAAATTGTATTGTTAATTTTGCACACACGTACATTAATTCAATAAAAACAAATTCAGAATCATTAATTAAAATATATATAAACAGTAAATAAGTGTTGCTTTTATATTCTTATGTAAAGTAATGACGATATGTTTTCACGTGTGCGCACTTACATATGCGATCTCTCTTTTTTCTTTACCATTATCGTTAGCTACATCTATTATTCCATTTATTAACATTAAATAACATTACTTAAAACAACCATATTAATTTTACTACAGCTACAACCAAGGTCTTATTTTCTTCAGTTTTATATGTAGAACCAGTCAGTAACTGGCTTTGTAATCAATGAAAACAATGCTGTGTCATTTCCTCGTGTGTTTTAATATTCTACGTATTATTAATGAATTGTATTGCTCATTTTGCACACATAAACATTAATTCAATAAAAAAGACATTCAGTAATAAACAATAATGAATCTTTTGTACATAAGAGAAATGACGCTGTTTACACGATTATGCACGTTGTCTGCACGTTGGCGGGCCGTTCAAACCCGTCGAAATTCAAGTTTCCGTCATCAAAATTTATTTTTTTTTTTTTGTGTTCCAATAAAATACTTTAAGAATTAAAAACTCGTGAAATTTGAGAAGCTACTATACGACATTTAACCCTTCAATATGTCTTCAAAGAGACCATGATGTAGAGAAAGTGGTGCTAGTGCTTCCAAGCATAAGCACAAGTCACTATCTATCCAGGAAGAGGGTAAATTTCCATGGTCCGGCAATTTCCATGGTCCGGCACCGGTCAGGTCCCGAGGTTGCTGGACTAGAGAGGTACAACCTGCATTTGAATTTATTAGAATTTTATTTAATTTATATCAAAGTTTTAAATTATAAGTTTCATTTTGTGTGTCAATTGGCCACAGGCTGCGTGACCAGATATTTTACTCATCAGTTAATCAACCACTCTAACTCAGAAAATATATTTAACCTTAGAATTGTTTCAAAGCAGAGTGATTTAAGCTCACGTGAATAAACCAACGATGAATTTGGATAACATTATATCTCTTGGTTTAACTCATCATTTTATAAGTCTGGTCTAGCAGCAGCCATTACTAAACAACACAAATTCATTCTATTTTTTTTATTTTTTTAGGAGAAGGGAAGAAGAAAAATTGTGTGTGAGAAACTTCTAAAATTCCTCAACGAATCCAAGTATTACACAGCAGCGACTCTCCTTATTCATTTTCCTTATGATGGTAAGTCTCTTTTAATATCTCCTATGTACTATGTTCTCTATCAACTTATTCTTTTTACATCACTTCAAAAGTCACACCAGAAAAATACAGTGAAACCTCTATATAACGAACTTCTCTCTCCATATAGTCCGTTAAATAGAGGTTTCACTGTATTTTTCTGGTGTGACTGTGAGTGAAGCTTCTGGTGTTTTTGCATTAGTGCACACAACTTTCCTACCCAAAATTTATTATCTTATTCGAATAAGACATCTAATTTTAAGATACAGCTCCTCCCTGACTTACGACCTACTCGACTTACGGCCACCCGCACTTACGACCTGCCTCAGTCGTATCAAAATTTGGTCAAATTACATATTTTTGAGTCCCAACTTCAGTGCACAGACAAAATTTTCGTTTGTAATTCACTTTAAAATGGCTGACAAGCTTAAAGGTGAGAGTTTTGTGGTGCTGAGAAGAAAAAGAGACATCCATTTTAGATTTTCTATGTATTATTTAAGCATTTTCGACTTACGACCTGGATTTGGGTCCCTAACCCCGTCGTAAGTCGGGGAGGAGCTGTAATTTTCTTCTATTACATTACCGCTGTAAACGTATAATAAAGGAGATAGAGCATGCCAGATATTTCTCTATTTTCTTCCATTAAACTTCCGCCATTATTGCCTACCTGACCTCCCACTCTACGTGTTTCCTTCATAAATCGTCACACGCATGCAATCCCGTACACGTCACGCAGCCAATCAAAAGCGTTTTTTTTCCACCAATTAAAATGATTTGTGGTCTAATTTGCGGGGGTTTTTAATATTGGATTCTATTTTTATTTTGGGTCGCTCATATTTCTAAATTCAAATTCATTTCCGACCATAGAAGTCTGCGATGGGTGTCACTTCAATTATATGAAGTTGATTGCGCGTTTGGGGGAAAAAACTAACAAGCTATATTATTTTTTAGATCTCGTGGTGTTCTCCCGACCTCAGTAAAGTGCTCTAAGTGTAAGAACGAATGTAAATATCGTCAAGACCGACATATGTGGCATTGTGGTAACTCGTTCCTTATTCCCAAGACAAAGAAGAGACCTTGGTGTTCGTACACCGTTAGTGATTACAAAGGAACAATTTTTTGAAAAGTGCCATTTTCACCTGTACTAATCTCAGAATCGAACGACAAACTAGAACCAGGCCAATAAGGTAAGAAATAAGTGATTCCACCATATAGTGAGAGTTAGGTTAGGTCAGGTTTATTTGCCTGTTTTTCTAGTGTTTTTGTGTGTGTGTGTATTTTTTTATTCGACTGGCCATCATGTTGTTTGGAAAACACCCCACCCAAAACCCCCAATAACTAAAAAATAGGCAATTTACGACGGAAATGAAGATCAAAACCAATCAAAACACACAAAAATACACTAGAAAAACATAGTTTTAACTTTCTAACAGAGTTGTGTGCACTACTGCAAATTTACCAAGCTTCTTATCAGTATTTATATTTCATTGATACTGTGGGGTACAGGTTGTTTGGTTCACACTCAGGATGGGATGGAGAAAGGAAATTCACAATGTGCTTTCTGTATACATATTATATTGGATGTACAGTGCAGCTTGGTGCTGGGAAGTGGCAGAGTGGTTACAAGCATGATGTAGAGAGAGCTGGTTGGTGAGGATGCTCACAGGAGGACCAGCTTGTGGGTCGCCATGCTCGCCGGCGGGAGCGAGGACTGCCAGGCAGGAATGGAGGAGGTGGTGTTTCTTGCTGGTTGGTGTAGGTAGAAAGAGACAGGTCACCACGAGGTCAGGTCTTATATAGCGGAGGTAGGCGTGGCTTAATAGTTGACCTCCGCTATGTAAGGCAGCGCTTGTTGACCTAGACCACGAGGCATACACTGGGGAATTCGCGGGGTCGGCTACTCAGCGACAAACAGCGTTTGTAGGGAAGAAATCCACTACAATACATTCCTGTGGTCATTATATAACAGATGAATATAATGTGTTGTGAGTGTGTAATAATAATAATAATAATAATTAATGGTTTATTGAAAGAGCATGGCAGCCAGAAAACTGAAAATATACAGTTACATAATTGGGAAGTGGATCTCTTGATTGATAAATATTATACAAGTAACATAAGTGATACAAATATGATATATAATAACTAGCTGTGTGTGTGTGTGTGTGTGTCAATCACCACGTGTAAGAAGTAGTGTCTTGTATGATTTATAAACATGTATAATTACTATAAAGTCCCATAAAATTACTCCTTGCTGCAGGTCTCCACGAAGAGCGAGCCGTGCTGTTGGGGCGTCTCGGTCAGCATCATCAGGCACTGTCCATCTACACCAACACACTCAGAGACACACAGGCAGCCCTCAGGTACTGCCAGAAGCACTACACCCCTTCAGGACCTGGCAGTGAGGTTAGTTTTAAGTGTGCTCTTCATGTACTGTATTGTAATGGTAGCTACTGAATGCCCAGCCCAGCCCAACCCAACCAAAATGTCCATATCTCAACAAGTGACTAGAGGTGTTTCATCAGTCTTCTGCAGACCATGTTAATAAAGAGCACCTCATTGTAGTATAGACATATGTTACTGTATCATGATGTAACAAACTGTTATACTCATGACCACAATATAGCAGTGTATTACAGGAGGTCCCCAATTTATGAATGCCCGCCAATACGAACGAGGTTAAACTTAAAATTTGTAGTATTTTATTTACCTAATGACTTATTTTTTACTTTCATTTACTGTATTTTGTCATTCTATTTCTTTTTCTCTCTTAAATTAAGTGATTTTAGATGTATATAAGGACTTAGGCTATGATATAGTGGAATTTTAAACATTGTTATGTGAGTACGGTATAGTATGCATATACAGTACAGTAGAACGTCGATTTAAAGCTATTCAATTTAAGATTATTGATTTAAAGCGACACCTACAATTAAGGACAATGTTTTAATTTAAAGAGAACCTTTCCTCTTTTGCATGAGTCAATCTGGCTCATCACATTTTAAAATTCACACCTAATGTTTCTCTTGGCACGCTACACTGTCCTAAGGGCAACGCAGTACTGTACTGTACACGTACTCATAATAATGTACGGGTACTAAATAATTATTAAAATTTTTGTCTAGTGCAAACTATAGCATGATTATATTCAAATTAATTATTATCTTATAAGAATTCCAGCAATGTAAATTATATTCTCCCCGGTCACTTCTGTGACATTTTATAAACAAAAAACAAAAACTCTATCTTAAGGACATAAATAAACAAATAAATACTTCACTAGACCTTCGGCCCCAACTGTCAAATATGTCACTGTCACCCCCCCCCCCCTATCTTCCCAGCCAGGTTTGGGTGGTTATAGGCTTACAATTTTTATCTTATACAATGATCCCTCGGTTAACGAAATTTTGGTTAACGAATTACCTTCCATAAGAATATTCAATTCAGTTAACGAACAAAAATTCAGGTAACGAATTTCTTACGAAATTGTTTCAACATGCTTTGGCTTGCTCACCAGCTGGAAGATTAGTCCGCCAATACAGAAGTCGGTTCTAGGGCTTACATTCGTTAAAATTGGAGTAAATATCAAGAAGGTTGTACTATTCAATAATTTTCCAAGTTTTATATTAAATTTTTTAGTCATTTTAACACTTGTTTAACATAATTGCAGTACAGGGAACTAGTTTTTGGTGCGCCCATCAGCCACTTCACTCACCCACCAAGGCCTCAGTTTGTATCTCTGTTCAGTGGAGGAAACATCTTGCTTGTGGGTCTCTTGAACACAGAGTATTTTTATGTTTTTACAGTACAATTTTTGGTCATTCTGAAATTTATTTAACATATTGACAATATATAGTGCAGTGCAGTGTTGATTTAAAGAAAATAAACTTGAATTACACCGAGTGAATTTAAAATTTTATGGGTGAAATGACAGCATCAAGCATGAGGTGATTTCTCTTCCACCCCCACTTCTTTCTCTTCTCCCTTCTCCTCCACCCCCATTCTAATTCCCATCATCATCATCATCATCAACCAGGAGCCTTCTACATACACACCTCAAAGTAAGTGTACTTTATTGCATATTTTTTTTTACTTAGTATGTAATTTTCTGTGAGCTGGAACCAATTACTGTACCCAAAATCCCATTGAAACAATGGTTTCGGTTAACGAACGACGTTCTGGAACAAATTGTGTTCGTTAACCGAGGGACCATTGTATAATATCACAGAATAAAGTTAGGAGAATATAATATGCATTGCTAGAATCCTTGCAAGACAGCGAATAATTTGAATATAAACGTCATATATTTTGCACGAGATAAAAATCTTAGCCCTTTGTAATAAAATTAATTAAAACTTAATTTTGTATGTCTAATGCAAATTATAGCATGTATATATTCAAACTAATTACTATCTTATAAGAATTCCGCCAATGTTAATTATATTCTCCCAGGTCAGTTCAGTGACATTTTATAAGAGAATAAAGTCACTCTTAAGGACAGATAAATAAATACCTGTAAGCACTAGACCTTGGCATCAACTGGTAAACATATCACCTCACCTCACCTCCCTCCCCCCATCTTCCCAGCCAGTAAACAGACCATTTTGCATCCCTTAATTTTAGCTGTGTTGATTTATGAGTGTTTCTTTTAAAATACTGTAATACTAAAAAAAAAAATGTTTTTTTTATTTTAGGAGGTGGACTGAGGTGCATCTGGGTAGACTGTCAGTCTTTTTAGTATTTTGTGTTTCTCTCGAGTACCAAACTAAATTATTCCATTGAAACAACACTTGGATTTAGTGCGAATTCAGTTTAAAGCGACCTCTCTTGGAACGTATCTTGCGTTATATCGACATTCTACTGTAGCACGTGTTCCGATATGTACAAATTCGACTAAAGAACATCCTCAGGAACGGAACCCGTCCATAACACGGGATCCTCCTGTACATCATATAGTACAGGATAAATATCAATGTCTTGTGTTTCACAGGTATATTTGACACTCCTCAAGCTGCTGGTCAGTCCTATAGACATAAGAAGTACTTCTGGTTCCCCAGTCATGCAGCAACAGCAGCAGGCAGGAAAACCAGATGTTGAGACTGTTCTCGAACTGCTACAGAATCATCTACATTGTATAGATCTTGGCCAGGTAAAACCATTTATTGTTGGAACCACTTAGCTGTGCCCTTAACTCTTTAAGGATGATGATTTAAAACTTTGAGAATGATGGTTCAACCTTTTGGTAATGATGGTTTACGGACCCTTTGAGGACGCTGGTTTTATCAACTCGTCTTGGGATTAACCCGCAGCCTCCATTACAAACTAATGTATAAAACAGTGGTGATAGACTGACATGAGTACAGTACAGCCTGGTAAAGAGACCTTTTATATAAAGTGTCAATGTATTAGATGGGAGATATGAAGAGTTGCTTATTACAGTAAGTCATTGTTGTCTCTGGTGAGGGCGTTGGGAGGTGGTAAATAAGTTCTTTGAAGATCTGGTTCTTCACACCACAAACAACTGTGTATATTAATTAACTATTACTGTACTCTAATTTAATTTTGTGTGATATTATTGATAATTATGGAGTCTATGATACAGTATTAACTCAAGCTATGTGATGGAATATTTATGTGTTTTATGTTGCAGGCGCTGAAGGTGTTACCAGATGAAGTAACACTCAACTTGTTGAAGCCTTTTATCCATGCATCATTTAACCTGGCTAGTTCAGTGTGTAAACAGAAGCAAATAATGCGAGGTCTCACACAGTCACTCAAACTCCAGGTAAGAGAGTCTTAGGTTATTACTTGTTGTCTTACACACACACACACACACACACACACACATACATACATACATACATACATACATACATACATACATGCATGCATGCACAGATCCTCATGCTAACATACACACCACTTTTTATAGACCTACATAATAACTGTTCTGTATAGACGACATAAAATATTACATGTTAATTTTACAATGGTAGTGAAAAATTTGTAAATCAAACTGCATTGAAAAGAGTAAAATTGTATTTCAACATTGTGGGTTAAAGATACAGTATTAGCGTTATGTCTATGTTGCGGTGAATCCTTCCACAGATGTTCATGTTACATACATATTGGCTGGGATATTATTACTCATTAATTACAATAATGTATATTTCCTTGGCTGATTTTCCCGTTTGCAGACAAGCGAAGAACTTGTTGCCCGCCAGAAACTGAAGATCATGCTGTCAGAATACACCTACTGTGCTGTGTGTAGTAAAAGGTTCACTAAACACAGGTATGTACTGTACTGTACTGTGGCACTTATCATTTTTTTTTTTTTGAGATTTACATCTTCTCTATTTATCTTGTGATTGTTTACTTACAGTAAGTTTGCTTGTATCTTCACCATGACATTATACATTACAGTAAGCCCTAGCACTTCCGGACAGTTAGGGAGGAGAGGGTGTCCAGAGGTGGCAAATGTCTGGATGAACCGGGACACGAATGCACATTACTTAATCTTATGGGGAAAATTAGGATATGTTCCACAACTTCTAAAATTCAACAGTAATGCTATAAAAGTTGTGGAAAAATAATAACAATACTCTATTATGGGTTAGAAATAAAGATAATGAAATATAAAACTATAAAATATAATATAAAGATATAAACTAAGACACATGAAGAGCATGGGTGTTTGTGAGGAAAGTGAATGTGGCCGGAGTGGCTGACTCGCCACTCCGGCCACATTTCATGACGTCACATACGGTGCAGTAGACAGACACATACACTGTCCCATGGTTCACAACCATTTCTGGAGCATTAATGCTATAAAAGTTATAGACATATCATTAAAATACTCTAATGTGGCTTAGAAATAATATAATATAAAACAATAAAATAAGAATATATAAAGAACAAGGGTGTGTGTGAGTGCAGGTTAAGTGAGCCGCCTGTTAACTGAGGAGCCCTCCCTCCCTCCCTCAATGTGATGTCACATACACACTCATCATTTATGTAGAAGTTTGGTGTTAATACAGTAAAACCAAAACTTCAGTAACATATTTTATGGTAGGGAGTATTTGGGAAAAAACTTTTGTGTGTATTTACCTCCAGTAACCATAGTTTTCTTAAAATAATATATATAATATCAGGAAATGTGAGGAATAAATCAAAATAATACCAATAAATAAGTTACCCCCAAAAATACTGTATTGCCAAACCAATAAATAAAAGCCAAATGAAAGTTTAACACAGTCGCCATTTGCCTACACTGGGATTCCATTACCCTAGCAACGCTTCCCCGTACACTCTGCGCTCTCCTCCCGTTACGTTTTTGTCCTTTTACTTTTTTCACAATACTGTACGGTGTATGTAGGATGGCGTGTGCATGTAACCGAGTAAAATAATAAATGAAGAAAGTTACGTATATCGCCCCGAAAATACGAGTTGAAAAACAACCGTAACACCACAGCTTGGCCCCGCAGATGACACGGACTGGGTCCATTTTAACAGCGGGGGAGTAAACATGGCATTCAGACAGAGAAGGAGACCACATAGGAATTTACCGCATACAGATGTCGATTCTGACCCACCGAAATCTGGATCTGAGAGGTCCAGAAGTGCGAGGGTTTACTGTATTTATTTATGTATGTGTCCCCACAATGGTATTAGTACTGTACATTGGTATTATACATTGTTTACTCGGGTATGTATCTGCACCATTTCAATGGGTGTTATTGGTGAACATAGCAATCGTCTGTTTTTGGTGGTCGATGTACAGTCTCTAAAAAATCTATCTATACAAAATTGTGTTGAGAAAATATGACAACAGATGAAGGATTTTGACAACCCTACTGAGACAACAGGAGTCACAGTGTTCATACTGACATTCATCAACCCAAGTAAAGATAGTTTTATGAGTGACTGTACACTTAAAGACATACAGTATAGTGCATACAATAAATTTTCTTGATGCTTATTCATATTATTAATATTTTTAGTGTTATTATTATGTTATTTTTCTTTTCAGTGCATTTGCTTGGTATCCAAATGGTGATATTGTACACTTCTCCTGCCAGAACCAGAGGTGAGGTATTGCAGCACAACATGGTTATAGAGTTGCTTGTTTTATCATTCATACTGTACTGATGTTCTTTGATGATATTAAATAAGCCATAAATGAAGGGCTCATGTGAGGCGAGGGAGAGGTTGACAGCAGTGGTCCAGCTTATGAATCAATCACTATGGTGGGCAGCTGAGTAATGTCTCTCATCATGGAGTATATTTCACCTCTGCCACTCATACTAATATTTTTACAAGTACGGTAGATGGTGACACTAGTGGTGGTGTGGTGACATATGACACTAGTGGTGGTGTGGTGACATGACACTAGTGGTGGTGTGGTGACACCAGTGGTGGTGTGGTGACATGACACTAGTGGTGGTGTGGTGACATGACACTAGTGGTGGTGTGGTGACATGACACTAGTGGTGGTGTGGTGACACCAGTGGTGGTGTGGTGACATGACACTAGTGGTGGTGTGGTGACATGACACTAGTGGTGGTGTGGTGACATGACACTAGTGGTGGTGCTGAATATATTTCCAAGAATCGGGTGTTAATATGGTGGCTGGATAACACTTGTAAATTAATATTTTTCTCTCTTGTCATCGGATCTTGTTCCTTCATTATGTTTATAACTGAACTGTAGTGATGATGTAAGGTACTGAGTAAGAGTACAGTATAGTGATGATGTAAGAGTACAGTACAGTAAGCCCTTGTTATTCACGAGGGATAGGGTCCAAGGAATGGCACGAATAGGCAAAACCACGAACAGCAACTTATACTACCTTAGTGCACTACTGTATAGTCAATACCAAACAACCGACCAGCTGTGGCACCACTCATCCCTTCCTTTAAGTCATCACTGACTTCTGCCTTTTACATTTCACTCCACTAGCATTACTAGCACTGATACTAGGCAGTCTTTTAGGGGCCATTTCACACAGAAACACTTAAGCTTTGAGAGTGCAACACCAGATGCTGCGTGGGGTGACTCATTGTGCTGCAGGAAAGTGCTTGCAAGCTAGCCACCATCTGCTTACCGCGAATCGTCGAAATCGTGAATCTCAGACCTGAGAATAGGAAGGATCTACTGTATAGTGAAGGCTGTCATTATACTGTGCACCATATTTCCCCTGCATAATGGTCATGTCCTCAGCATTGTCAGATTTTTATTTTGTGATGGTTATTTAGTAGGGGTTAATTGTATAATTGAAACTGTTATTGATCTGACAACAAAAAGTTACCAATGTTGATAATCTTTTGAATGTGAGAGTGGAAGTACATAAGGTTTAGCTACACAAGAGTCTTACCATTGATTATCTCATTGTTTTTCCTCCTCTTTCTTGTGCCTTCTGTAGTGGAGACAGATCTGAGAATACAGTATTTATTGAGTGATGTGAAGAATTATTGACTCCATCACAAATTATTATTTCTTATGGATTTTATAGTAGAAAATCCATTGTAGAATCTAATTAATTACAGTAAAACATTTATTTAATGGATTTTATGGAGAGAAAAGTCTGTTAATATATCGAGGGTCTGTTAGATGTGAAACTTCCATCTAACGAACTGTATAGAGATGAAAGTCCATTATATAAGAGGGTCCGTTAGATGTGAAACCCGCATCTAACGGATTATATAGAGAGAAAAGTCCGTTATATACAGGTAGAGGTTTCACTGTAAAAAGTTAATAATTAAACCTGATGTAATTATTCCTGTTAATTGGATGATTTAAGGTTTTTAGTTTACATTATTAATATTGTCATCATCACTATCACCATTTTATGGCCATTTTCCACAGTTGCCTGGCTTAGGTTAGATTAGATTAGTTGTGTTTACCTGATGGCAGCTGTCCCAGGTGCACAGTCTCTTGGCTGTGTCTTCCTGTGATGATTGATGGCTGGTGAGTGCCTAGTTAACCAAAGATAAAAATAAAAGAGCATTACACATGTTTATTTGCAAATTTTTCTACTGAGATTAGTCAATAACTGATTCTCAAAATTATGGCTTCCCAATTGGGAGCTTTTAGGCCTAAATATAAGCCCAACATGACTAAACACGCTCACAAGCAGCAGATGCAGGTAGTGGGGTGTTGAGCTTGAGAGATAAGTCACATAATGATGGGAAAGACTTCAGTAGCTCCATTCCATCCCCTGAACATGCCAAGTAGCTATGAAGCCCCTTCAGTTGAGGAGTTTGTGGATGATTGTTGCCTCTGTAGCACCGAACAAGGAAATGGTGGAATGGGCAGCTTGAGCGCTTAAACTCCGTGTTCATTGCTTGGGCACATAAATGAAATGATATGAAAGAACACATGTATTTGTTCCACACATGAAAAAATGCTTGTCATTGGTTAACTTCCAAGTTTGTCCTGTGATTGCACATTTAAAACTTTTGTTTGGGGCATGTAACGAGTAACATTTTTTTTTTTTTTTTCAATTGTATTGGAGTAGAGGTATTAGAAAACCATACTTTAGTAAAGGTGCTGAAAAGTTTGAGTACTTTGTAAATCCCAAAAAAGTTAGTGGAGTATAGTACTCAAGTGAATTTACTTAGTTACTTTACAACTCTGTCTGTATATGTGAATATTACGTGTAAGATTGTTTGTGTATAGCAGTACAGTATAATAATAATAACGGTTTATTGAAAAAGTTCTACAGCCCGAAAACTGAAAATATACATTGGACATAAATGATTTATTACATACATTGACATAAGGGGAGGGGGGGGTGTTTAACAAAAGCTTTCATTAGAGGAAAGTAAAGGAACAAACAGTGAACATACAAATTAATGTTTACAGTGGAGGTCACGTAGGTCATGTGCGCTGAGGTGTTGAACAGCAGACATCTGGTGTAGTAACTCTCTCACAGATGGTGTTATGAGGGGCCTCACGTGGTGTAGTAACTCCCTCACAGATGGTGTTATGAGGGGCCTGACGTGGTGTAGTAACTCCCTCACAGATGGTGTTATGAGGGGCCTGACGTGGTGAAGTAACTCCCTCACAGATGGTGTTATGAGGGGCCTGACGTGGTGTAGTAACTCCCTCACAGATGGTGTTATGAGGGCCTGACGTGGTGTAACTCCCTCACAGATGGTGTTATGAGGGGCCTGACATGGTGTAGTAATTCCCTCACAGATGGTGTTATGAGGGGTCTCACGTGGTGTAGTAATTCCCTCACAGATGGTGTTATGAGGGTCTCACGTGGTGTAGTAATTTCTCACAGATGGTGTTATGAGGGGTCTGAGGTGTAGTAATTCCCTCACAGATGGTGTTATGAGGGCTGGTGGTGTAGTAATTCCCTCACCTCCCTCACAGATGGTGTTATGAGGGACAGTAATTCCCTGATGGTGTTATGAGGGGCCCTCACAGATGGTGTTATGAGGGTCTGACGGTGTAGTAATTCCTCACAGATGGTGTTATGGGGGGCCTCACGTGGTGTAGTAACTCCCTCACAGATGGTGTTATGAGGGGCCTCACGTGGTGTAGTAACTCCCCCACAGATGGTGTTATGAGGGGCCTGACATGGTGTAGTAACTCCCTCACAGATGGTGTTATGAGGGGCCTGACGCGGTGTAGTAATTCCCTCACAGATGGTGTTATGAGGGGTCTGACGCGGTGTAGTAATTCCCTCACAGATGGTGTTATGGGGGATCACACATGATGCTGTAGCAACTCATTCACTACGTGGTGTCGTAGTGTCATGGGTACACCACGTGGCCTGGTGTCACAGGACCTCATTCACTCGGGTGGTGTACAATCAGGTGCGGTCCTTGACCTCCCTATCGTGGACAGATTAACACGTCGTTGCTTGTTGTTGGGATCTCATGGCCAGTTATCACTGGGTACCAGGGACCTCACTGTGTGAAGGTTAACTTGGGTACAACTCTCAGCTGTTACTGTTATGTTGTTTTCACTGGCAAAAGCATCTGTTCATCACTGGTTCCACTTCTTTCCTAAATAATATTGTAACTTCTGCCGAGAACTTTCTGATATAACAGTGAGGAGGAGGGGTTGAGGGGAGGGATTTGGGGTAAGTGCCAACATTACAGTTGGCCTGGCAGCTGCCAGAGCAGCGCCAGATATGTCTTGACCTTTCGGTGGTCAAGGATGTGTATTTAAGTGTGTCTGTGTAAGAGTATCCACATGTGTAGCCATACAGTAAATTTTTACAATGTAACATAAAGCATTTAGTGTTGATCAAGTTGTAAGTAATTGATGAAAGACATCAGTCTGTGACCATTGTGCAAGACAAGTAAATGATGGTCAGGTCACCTCTTATCAGTGACCTGACTTTTGTACAGTTAACCTCGCTCCAGGATAGAAGTTAACTGTATGTTTATTCTTTGTGGTGGTCACCTAGCTGACCACCATGAGCCTGGGCTGCCTCAGTGGTGTGAGGTTATTACATATGAGAGTGAGCTTTTGTGCACTTGTGTGTGAGAATGTTTATGTGGTTGTAGAGGTATGTGTGTTTTAGACTGTGTCTGTATGTAGAATATGTTGTTATCATTTTCATAATTTTGCAGTTATTTTCCAGGCTTGCACAGGTTTGCTTGTGTTTATGCCACTATATATTAGTGGTATAGTAAATATGATACACAGATTAGATTGAAACTAATTAATAGAAAATGTAAACCACTAGCCATCACACATGCCATGCCCCTTACCACACCACAGTTCTTTTCCACCAAATTTCATCTTTAGATATTGTGTATAATTATTTAACCATTTGTAGAACAGTACAGTATACTACAGTACACTACAGTACAGTACTGTATAAACAAGAGTGTGATGGGAGTTGAGTAAGGGACGGCCAGCATCTTTCCCTCACATTAAACTTTCCATAATTAATGACCACTCAGCTGCCCCTCCCCTGCCCTAAGACCTTTAATTTGTGGTTTTATTGTAATACTGCAAGAGCTGTTTTGTCCTGTATAGTACATGATTTTGTGTACATCAGGTGGTACAGTCACTCAAAACTATCTACTGTATATTGTCTGTACCGGGGGTCGATCAATTTAT